GAGGGGTGGATAACTTACCATTTTACAATAGCGGCGTGAAAATATTTTCACTTGACTTTGCCGGGAATTTGTTTTTTTTTTCTTGTTAATGGCCCTGCGAAGTTCACCGCGCGTCAGTTCGATGAGAGGGGAGGCGGCAACGGTGTGCGGGAGGTGTGGGGTGGAGAAGCGATCCCTCTTATGCAATAAAGAGAAAATTTACAACGCAAGACAAAAACGCAAGAGAGCCACACAAAATGCAATGTCATTTACACACTAATAGCGCCAGATAAATATGGAAATATCCAAACAAAAAAAATAAAGCAACAAGACCAACAGAAGAGTGTGTGCTAAGCCGCCAGATACCCTGTATGCATTCAACCAAATTCTAGATAAGAATGCATAAGATTCATAGCATTAAGCCTGAATTTAACCCAGACACTAAGAAATCACATTTTTAACTGCGCACTGCTTGCAAGCAGTACACAAGCCGTCATCGCACAATAGATGGCGCCAGTACATATGTATATTAAAAATTCCGTTTCATTCTTTTCAAAATTTCTGTTTAATTCATAATGCTCTTTGTTTTGCTTATATACATATTTAAATATATATGTGTGTCTGTGTGAGTGTGTGTGTGTGTCTATGTATGTGTAAGAGAGGCATATGTAGAGCGATTTCTGTGGTAGCTTTAACCAATTTACAGCTATGTAATATAATTATGTGTTATTATTTACGGTATTTTTGCTGTTGAGCGCAAAAATTGCGCAACACAAAATGTTTATAACTTTTAGTTTTTAGTTGATGTAATTACTCTGCAATTATGTATGTATGTTTGTTTCTTTTTGTTATTTTCTTTGTTTCAGTAACTACGACTTTTGGGACTGGGGCTGGAAATAGTGCTCAATTTTACTCAATTTCTTTTACATTCATTTTCGTTTTCTGCTCCGTACATAATTTTTTGCTGTTGTTTTCATTATTACATATATAATTTTTACATAATTTTTTTCTTTGATTTATTTTGGTTATTTGTTCCTTTGGCTAAAAGCAAATTTATATATATATATATACATACATGCATATATACACATATATTTATATATATATGTATATACATATATATATATATATATATATATATATGCATCTGTATAATTAAAATTTCTATATAGTTTTTTCTTTATTTTTTTCCTTTTTTATTTATATATAATTAGCTTTCCGTGCAGCATTCGCACCATTTTTTGTTGTTGTCTAATTTTTGCTTTAATTAACTTATGTTTTGTTGCATCTTTACCTAATTATTAATCAACAAGACAAAAAAAAACTCACGCATTTTATAGTTTTCGTTTTTGTTATTTTGCTTATATGGTTTACCTGCTCTCAAAAAAAGTGTTACGGTTTCTTGTTGCTCTTGTTTTAGCCGTTAACTTTATATATTCGTCCTCGTTATTAGTTCAAGCCGCTACTTTAAAAAAAATTGCAATATAAAAACAAAACATTCGAAACTACAGCGCATTAACCTATAAACTTGATTTTATGTTTTATAACGGAGCTTAAGCAATAATATTGTTTAGTTTATGTTTACGTTTATGTTTGAGTGTGTCTATTTATATATATATACATGTATATGTATGTATATATATATAAATATGTAGTACTCATTTATTATTGTTTTTAATTCATAAATAGTTTCTTAGTTGCATTTGCGGTTTAGTTTTGTTCTTCTCCTCGTATCGATTTGTCTCAAGTTGCTGTCAAAGTGAATGTTTGAAGGGATTTATGAACATTTTAATTATAGTTTACACATTAATGCTTGTTGTATTCAGTCAAGTTGGCATGGATGAATAAACAACAAGTTAGCGAAAAGTTATCTACTTTCTTTGCCAGCTGCGTTTTGTTGCATTGCAAGTGGCCGCAAGTCTATCTACCTGTTTAAAATACTCGATTGCATTTTAGCCTAATTGATAGAAAAATAAAATTTGAGTTGCAGAACTTGTTAGATGTGATAATAAGATAATAAAGAAGAGCTTCTTATTAATATGTGTTCACTTATAGCGAGAGTGGGAGAGAAACAGTGAGCGAAAGAGACGGACAAGTGTATTGCTGCACTGCTTTAAACTGCTTGCTTGAATTGCGGCCTATTGCAAAAGAATAAATGCTGCGTTACGTTTGACGTGTGTGTGTGTGTGTGCAATGTTATATGTTATACCAATTAGGAGAGAGAGAGAGAGAGATATGGAGATAGGGAGAGGGGGAGGAAGAGAGAGATAGGGATCGCGAATTTAGTGAGTGTAAAGAAGAGCACATGTGAAGTAGTATATAGTATTTAGTAAGTAGTTTATCATTACTTGTATTCGCATAAAGTATCTATATAGATAAATATATATATGTACATATATATATTTATATTCGTAGAGAAAGGCACAGATGAAATTATTACATAATTAAATTTGTTTCTTCTTGTTGTTGTTGTTGCTGTTGTTGTTTTTGCGTAACGCCCGAGAGAGGCCCCAATCACACATATATCGTATATAGCATAAAATTTCTAAGTTCGATTTGTTGCTTTTTGTTGCTGTTGTTTTTGTGTCAAAAAAGTTTATCTAAAGTTTTTTTTGGGGATTCTCTAGAATAGTTCTACGTTTCTAATCAATTTTTTATCGTTCTACAAAGAGTGTAAAAAATGGGTATTTTTTTCATTTTGGAAATTTTTGTTTTCGATTTTGACCATGTTTGGAAAATTGACAGTGTTTTGTGTTCATCTTCTTCTCTGCCTTAATTTTCTACTACATTTGTAACATTTCAGTTAATTCTTTTTTGTTTTTTGTTTTGTTTTGCATTTTAAAGTGTAGCTGACTTTTGGGTTAGCTATTGTAATTCGTTGATAGTTTCATACATTAGTTGATGTATGTGCATAAATACTCTATATATACTCTGATAATAGGCTGAAGTCCCTAAGCTTTTGAAATTTTAAACTAATTTATATTAAATGCCACGCCATAAAGTTGTTCTGTGTGGTTTTCGGTTTGGGGATTCTTGTAGAATATTGTAGTTCAGATTACGTTTCTATAATTAGGGATATACACATTGTGCTTACTCCCGACTACTATCATTAAAAGTTGACAACGTTTTTAATAGCTACACAGTTAACACTAAAAAAAAATGTTATTCGCCCTTTTTGGTATATATAAAAATAAACATGAGGGCACTTTCTCCTCTAGTTGTTGTCCTTAAACCAGTAAGGGGCCGTTTTGTTCAATTAGTTATATATGTATGTAATTCAGGTTTTTTTTTTCCTTTTCTTTTTGATTTTTGATTTTTTTTTATTACCACGCAAAGAGTTAACATTCGCTAATTACCCTTACTTTGTGTCTGTGGGTGTGAGTGTGAGTGTTTCTCTTGTGTATATTTGTTTGGCACAATTTTCGTTGAAATATGAGCGAGATAACGATAGAGCAATGACCGAGTGAGAGAGCGCATGCTTAAGGCCTAGAAAGAGAGTGCGCCAAGTAGTTGATAGATTGTCCAGAAGAGCATCGTGTCTTGTGTGTGTTTGTGTGAGTGTTAAGTACCTATGTAAATTCGTTTTTATTAATTTTTTTTATGCGGATAGTGGCAACAATGCATGTTTGGTATTTCTTTTTTTCTTTTGTTCTTTTGATTTTTTTTTGTTTTTTTTTGTTGTTGTTTTTTTTGGGATTTTTGTTCTTAATTAGGTTAGATTACAATCTTAACAAGCTAAATTTGCTATTGCTTATCATTGTGTATGTATTTTAAATATATACTGAATACTGCGTCAATTGTTGTCAGCTTTAGTTTTGGACTAGACTACATAAAATACAATGCAATACATTACAATGCATACTCTAGGTTGTACATACATACATATAGCATAAGTATATATGTATATGGTTTTCTTGTCCTTCATATAAATGTTTTTAAACTTTAAGAGCTAATCACAGAGTTGATGATTTTTTGTTCACAATTTCCATCATGTATGCATGTATGTAGACTCCTTTTATAAAGTCGTATATATATTTATGTATAACTGTGTATATCGCAAATAACGCTTGTATGTATTATACATATATATACATTTACATATATATATATATATATACAGATATATGTATACATATATATATATATATCATTAATCAGCATGTAGTTGTTTTTTCTTCCTGTTCTCTTTTTGGTATTGAATTTTTTTTTCTTTTTGTGGTATATATTTTCTTGATTGAAACGGAAAACGCTCTAAACAACAATTTTCATTTTATTTTTATTAAATTTTCTTGATACCTTTGGATTTCTTTTTGTTGTTTGTTTGCTAAACTTATGAAAACCGTAGATTGCACTAAAAACAGTTGACAATTTTCTTTAGAGTAGTTATCGTTAATCGTTTAATCGTTATCGTTACAGTTATAGTTACAGTTACAGTTATAGTTACAGTTAACGCCTAACGCTAGTGAGTAATATTATCGTAATCGTTATCGTTATCGTTAACATTATTACCTAATTAGCTAACGCTTTAGTTTTGCTTTCTTCAAACTGAGCACTTGGAAAATTCCCTAAAGTTTTGAACAGGCTACAGTTACGTGTATGTTTGTATGTGGGTGAAAGATAGATTATTTCAGCCAGCAGGCCTGTTTCGTTATCGATATTCACTAACGGCTCTCGCTTATCGAATTTGTATTTCTTCCAGCACTAAATATACTCATTTAACGGCAAACAAATATAACATTCAATCATATTATTAATATTGTCGACACAGCGAAATGCTGAGTTGAAAATTCACTTTGAACTTGTTTCAGAAATGGAATACTTTTTGCAATTGAGGAGTTTTATGAATTTTGCTATCGTATTAAATTAAATTGTATTTTTTTAAATGAAACAACCGTTGCGAAATGGCTCGTGCTGTGAAATAGAAACGCTCGAAACGAAACAAGCCTGGCAGACTATACAAGTTGGTATGGGACAGAGAGAGAGAGAGAAGGAGAAAGAGAGAGAGAGTGAGAATGCTTAGCTTAGTCCGTTGACGACTGCGGCGATTTGACGAGAAGCAGCTCATTGTAATCGCTATCCTCGTTGCCGCACTGATCCCGCTGATCCATGCGCCGTCGTTCGCTGATGATGCGCATAATGTCCGCCGTATCGGACTTGTTGATTGCCACTGGGCAATCGCTGCCACTGCCACCGGCTGACATGCTGCCGGTAACGGTACTGTTGTTGCTATTGCTGCCACTGCCACTGCCAGTGGCTGCTGCTGCTGCCTGTTGCTGTTGCTGTTGTAGTGTTGTGGTTGTTGCTGGTGGTGGTGCTGTTGCTTGTGCTGCTGGCAGCAACAGGGAACTCTCATCCATGTCGGCGTCCTCATCGAGTGCCTGCTGCTTGAACAGCTGCTTGGTACTGCCGCTCCGACTGCGCGGTGGCATTGAACGCGGCACCGATAGTAACAGGCTGCTCCTTCCCATGCAGCCCTGATCGACGGACTGTGACCAGCCAAATGGACGACGCTGTTGTGCTTGTGGTTGTTGCTGTTGTTGCTGTTGTGTAACGGTGGGATGGGGCTGAGGTTGGGGCTGGGGCTGGGGCTGGGTCGTGTGTAGAGCTGTTATTGTTGGCTGCACAAGGGAGCTGACCAGCGCCAATGGTTCTCCATCTAGATCGGATCGCGGACGGGTTATGACGTCGGCGCTGCGTATGCTGCGCACATCCAAATCATAGCTGGAATTGGGACTGTTGCCGGCACCGCCATCTGACTCGAGGCTCTCGAAGATGGTGCCGCGTCGATAGTCCAATGCATCGCCACCCCACGGCAGCGAATCGCAGCTGGTGCGTTTTGCCTCAAGGTTGCGACGTCGGATTGCCTGCTCATCCAGCGAGCGCTCCTTGGACAGCACGCCGCGCTTACGGAAGCCGGAGGCGGCTGAGGCGCGACGCCCGCGCCGTCCCAGGGGCGGTAGTTGCAACGGCTGTTCACCTGTTGCCCCTACCGTCACTAGGCCGCCGCCAAAGGGTTCGCCCAGCCGGGCGCCGAGCGCCTGAGGCGTCAGCGCGCCGCCCATTTCAGCGAGGCTGAGGCCCAATCCCATCCCTTGCTGTTGATTTAAGTACTGTATGGTCTGGCGACGTCCGCCTGCACCCACACCACCACCTACACCCGCACCCACACCGGCACCAGCCGATGTAGCCAATGTACTGGCCAGGTTTAGATTTGTGGCGGCGCTGCTGTTCAAGCTGGCATTGGGTGGTGGGAACTTCTTGTCCATTGATGGGGTGCTGTAGATAAAGTTCTTTGGCAGCGATTTGACTTTGGCGAGTGGGCGTGGCTGAACGACAGCGGCCTTGCTCTGCGCCTCCGCCAGCTGCTGGCAGAGTTTCTGCTCCTGTGCGAACTCCTGTTCGCGTACGAGCTCACGCTCCAGTTCGACCTCCATGTCAAGCTCATCTTCCATTTGCTTGTGGCTCTCCTCGAGGTGTTTCATCAGTACAGCCACGACGACGTTCACTAACACGAATTGCGCCATAAGAACGAATATCACAAAGAATATGGGAGCAATAACCGAGCTGACGCAACAATTGCGCACGCAATCGGCCGCGTCATCGCAGTTATCCCTCAGCGTGTCCTTCATGATGCCGTTCCAGTTGTCGCCAGTCGCTACGCGAAACAATGTGAGGAAAGCCATGCCAAAGTTGGCGAAGTGCGCATGCTCGCCGAGACCCTGGCAGGGTATCTCATCGGAGCACTCGAGCCGCCCAAATAGCTCCACGCCCAGCGCCGCAAATATGAAGAACAGCAAAAAGAACAGCAGCCCCAGATTGCCCACCTGTGGCAGGGCCTGCATCACCGTGTCCAACAGCGCCCGAATACCCTTAGCCATTTTCAATAGTTTGAGCACGCGAGCGATGCGTAGCACCCTCATCACACGTATTATGGTCGGATTTATGGGTATGATGTTCGTTTCCAATTCCTCGAGAACGATGCCAACGATGGAGAGTAGAACAATGCCAACATCCAGTTGATTCCAGCGATCCTTTAGATAGAGACGCCAGCCAAGCGCAACCAGTTTCATATTCGCCTCAAGTATGAAGACAGCGGTGAAGAAGTAATTGAAGATCTTCAATGCATACTGTAGGGCCATGGGCATCTTATAGTACTCCATGGCCATGGTGACCACATTTAGGCCAATGACAGCGGCAATGGCCAGATCAAAGTACTTCGATGTGACCACATTGTGGACGAATAGGCGGGTGGGTGAGTAATTCGTATAGTAGGGTGGCTCATGCATCCGTCGACGTTTCTTTTCCATTTGCAGTGCCCGCTTGGCGGCCCGCCGAATCTTCTCCTCCTTCTCCTGTTCCTCGCGACATCGATGGAAATTCTCGACAACAACGCCCACAAACATGTTGAGCACAAAGAAGCCGACGAGCAGAATGAATGCGATAAAGTAGAGTAAACGCCATTCGTTATAGTTGACAATCGGTTGCTGATCAACGCCGACAGCATCCAGGCCGGTATACATGATGTTCACCCAGCCGTCGCGGGAGCTCAGCACAAACAAGGACATCAGTGCCTTGCCCAGATCATCAAAGTTATATTTGCGATTCGTCCAAACGTTACCAGGAATGCTGCGACAATCGTGGGCATTGCGAACGTTCTTGATGTTCTCGCCCTCGCAGTAGAAGAAGGTGCCCTTGAAGAGCTGTACGCCCAGTATGCCAAAGATGATGAAGAAGGTGCAACAGATCAGCACAATGTTCCCAATGGGACGCAGGGATGATAAGAGCGTTTGCACGACTAGTTTCAGACCCGGCGCTCGATTAATCACACGCAGCGGCCTCAGGGAACGAAGTAGCCGAAACACCTGCGAACAAGACACGTGGGGAATGGAAACGGATCAGTTACTGTTCTCAAATTATGACTTCCATCAATCGATTAAATATCATCGTACCACTGAAATTATTATTATCAACTCAAACGGAAAACTATAACAGAAACTGCAACTCAAATCGAAACTGAAACGGCTGCACTCTTGAAACGAATGTGATTAGAAAAAAGCAAAGCCGGAATGGGTTCGAATGGGCAATGGTAAATGGAAATTGAATGATCCAAACATGATATATCAGTAGGCATTTAAAGTTAACAGTCAACACTGTTAGGTTAACTGAGTTAAATGAGTGCGCGAACAAGGATTAACATATATACATACATATATCGAACCAAAATGATCTGTAACGATTCGAAATTGGAAGGTGAATGCATGAAGTGAATATTGTGAAAATAGTACATAGATATAAACATATTTGATGGTTTACAATGGGTACAAGAATTGACAAGAATAATGCAAAAATGTATGCAGTATGCAGAACGGTCTTTAAATTTTCAAGTGTGTGTATTATTAAAGATTGGTTACAGATAATAAACCCCAAATGGGTTAGGAATAGGGAATATGTATGGATGTTATGGATTGTGTTACAAGGCGAGTGGCCCTAATGCCCAAACAGAGCAAGGGTTTGGGCTTAGATAACGATAATAAGATTGATCGCACAAATGAAATTAACTGTATATAAAACTCTAAGGAAAGGGACGTTTCCAGTAATACTTATAAAATCTATTACTGGATCGAATATGTAACAAGTCCAAGTTCCAATCGTATTTATAACGAATTTCTTCTTTTTTTTTGTTTGTTTTTACTTAAATGTTCCTCCCAAAGATTAATGGCTAAAGGAAACCCGCTAAGTAAATACCATTGACTTTAAAATAGATACGATTAACGCAATTCACATAACAATACAAAAAGTGAGGTTAAATGGGTTGTGAGTCCGAGGAATTTGATTATGGTGCCGGGGTGATAAGGGGCAAAAGAAATGCATATATTAAGGATTAACTGATTATTATATATAAATGTATGTACAACAAGATATGAGAGTGAGCCAACAATTTTGTCTTACTTTTGTAGGGGTATAAACATTTTGAAGAGGGGAGTCTACGCACACACAGATAAAAATTTACGAATAATTTTTGGTTTTTAGTTTTGATTTTGCCATTAAATGATATAGCAGCGAGAATTTACCTGCAGATCGGTTTTTGTTATACGTTTAGTTAAGTTATTGAAAACCCGACTTAAACATTATATAGCCCATTAATGTAAATAAAGTATATATATATATCTAACATAGAATTTTTGAAAATATTTATGTTGAAAGGAGATTTGTTGATTGAGAGAAAATATGAAACGCGTTTAGAGTTTCCATATGATAAGACGAGAGATGTGTGTTGGAAAATATATATAGAAAGGGATAGTGGAAGGGTCAGAGGTCAATAGAAAGACAGAGACAACGATTGAGTTAGAGCTAGATAGACACGGAACATAAATATAGAAAGAGAGACAGATAGCGAGAGAGAGATATACAGAGAGAAAGAAAGAGAGAGAGAGAGAGAGAGAGAGAGAGCGAAAGAGCGGGCAAGCGGGCGAGCAATATCGAGAACTCATTGATGTTTATACTCTGATACCGAAATTCGGAAAGCATATCGGTCTTGTGCAATGTCCGTCCGTCGTCGTGTCTGTTATCAGCTGGTATCAGAGTATGCCGCAGCCGGTTAAGCCCGACAGCAATGTTCTCACTTGTTCTTTGTTTTTTTTTTAATTATAATTTTTTTTTTTTTGGTGCGTGGTTCGTGGTTCAAGTTGTCGATTTGTGGTTAACACATGTTGGTCGCTGTTTGTCAGTTCAATGCTGCATGTTGCATGTGACTTTTGATGCGGTTGCCTGCCTGTTTGCTGATTGGCTGATGCTGCTGGTTTTGTGTGCCAGTTTGCCTGTTCAGAGCCCACAAACTTACCCTTAAAATCCCAAATATCCTGGGGCTCGATTCGCTAATCAATGACATTAACAAATCAACTATCGAAATTGTAACCAAAGATCCATCCATTATATTCCAGCCGGATGTGAAATATGCATCCGGGCCATAAAACATGCCCGTGGCAACTACCTGCAAATGTTGCAATAAAAGTCAAAAGTCAAATGTCAACACTCAAAACTCAATTACTATAATGTGATTCGCATGCAAATGAAATATCCTTGAAATATCCTGTCTTGATACAGTATTTAAATTACAGTCAGACTTCCTGCAGAACTTTATTATATATGGTATTTCTTATTCTTCTATATATAATATTTTATATTTTTCATTTTTATTTTTTACATATCTTATTCAGTATCATCAATTGCTTGTAAATTCTTTGTGAAAATATGTTCCTAACTTAAATATAATAAATTATAAGATGAAGTTTGCAAATACAAACTTTTGAGAAAAATTGCGATTCTCGAACTCACCTTAATGAACATTTCGACAGTGAAGACGACGGTGAAGACGTAATTGGCTGTTGCCAGGAACACTCTTTCGGTGCTGCTTGGAGGGATGTTTGGTCTTTCCATGGCGAGTGTTATGCAATTGAGAGCTATAAATAGCAGCACAACATTGTCGAACCACTTCTGGTTCACAAACCAAGAGCAGATTTGCCGGAACCTGTTGGTGTGTGTGAGAGAATCAAGAAAACAGTGTAAAAATAGTTAACTGTAAATGGTTGTGTTTTTCCCGGCAATGGGAAGGGCAACAAAGTTCAAATTGAATTTCCGCTTCTTCGAAAGTCAAAATGAAAATGGAAACGAACTGCAAAAGTGGCTAAAAGCGACTGCGACAAAGTTGAGAGCAGTTCATTTTGATGGTAAAGCAATTGAAATCTATCAAACACTAAAATCAATTGGAAAATAGGTAAATTGTTAAATAGCAGAGTCAAGAGATTTAGTACTTGATAAATGGCGAATCAAATGCGAAAGCTGTTTTCATGATTTCGCTTAAGTTGCTCAGAGTGAGTAAGTTTTAAACTGATTAACTTATTCTAACACTTGTTGTGTGAAAAGAGAAGTTGAAAATAGCAACCAATTTATTATGATTATTTTCCAAAGCATTATTGACAGCTTGTAAAGGAATAGCTGTGAGCAAGTCTTAAGCCTATGTTGGATTAGACTAGTTGAAGTAATCTTGATTAGCGTTTGTCGTTGTATACCTGTTGTCCTCCGGAAAGATGTACATGGAGTAGGAGTCACGTTCTGTGGTGAAATGTTTGGGTGTCAGACGCTGTATGATCATTTTTAGCTTTGAGAACGGTTCCCCTCCGCTTGGCACCATGGAATGTTGCTGTTGCTGTTGTTGTTGTTGCATGGATAGCTGCTGCAGCTCCTTGGCCAGCATTTGTGGCGGTAGCTGTGATTCCGTTTGCGAATCAAGTTGTTGCTGCTGTTGCAATTGTAATTGCTGCTGATGCAGCTGCTGTAGCTGTTGCAGCTCCTTCTCCTCGAGCCGCTTCTTCAAATTGTAGTGACTGATGGAGTTTTTGCGCTTATCGCGCGCCTCCATATACTGTTGCAGCATGTCCGGTTCGTTGAGATTCGTGTAGGACTTCTGCCACTTGTCCAGATCCATTTTGGAGTTTGTGTACGATAGCGACTTGCGATTCGCCTCCAAATTATGCAGATTCAAATGAGACGTCTTACTGAATGCCAGCTCAATGGAACTCATTCGCCGCTGCCCGGCACCCCTCAGCTTGGGCGGCTGGTTGAGATTCTGATAGACCTGCGAGTTGAAGATGCAGGCGGAGGCTCTTCGACTGCCCGGACCACTACCAATGCTGAGCGTGTTGGACAAACGCCTTATCGAGTTCTGTGGACTCAAACGATTCGTGTCCTTATGCCGCAGCTCTGCCACAGAGGCGGCTGTGCTGGTAGCAGCGGTGGGATGGGTCGTACCTATAGTGCCGGTGCGCAATAGACAGCTGTTGTCACTGCCGTTGTTCAGCTGCTGTTCGTCCTCATCGGGTGCACCAATGTGGCTATCATCGGCTGTGGTGCGCAGCGTTGAGGGACGCTTCTTGCTGCTGCTGCGATGGAAGCGCTGCTTAAAGCTGCTGCTGCTGCTTGTTGTGGGTGCTGGCGGCAAACGTTCGCTGGATGAGCTACCGCTGGTAGAGGCAACACTGCTACCAACACCCGTTGTACCCGCCAGCGGCGACAGATCCAAGGACAAACTTAAGCTCTGACTATGACTATCGGCTGGTGGTTGTAGGGTTGCTGCCGTCGATGATATGGTCGGCACATAGATGGGCGTGGCGGTTGACGTTGCGCTGGAATTCTTCGAGATGTCATCGATGATGACGCTGTGCATGCTGCTGCCCAGTGCACTGGGCAGTAGGCTGTTCGATATGCTGGCGGTGCCAGCTGTACCACTAACAGCGACACTACTCGCAACCCCAACGCCAACGCCAGTTGCACCCTGCAGCTGGCTGGCATTGAGTATGTTGAGCGGCTTGTGGGCCAGAACTGGTGATGGCGGTATAAGATCGATGGACGGTATTCCCTCGTCCAGAGTCCGCGAACCGCCGCTAAAAATGTTCGGTGGCTTCAGCAGTGACGGCGATGGTGGTGCCGGCTGTGGAATGTTGAGCGGTGCAGGCAGAATTAAAAAATTGAACGGGATAAGTCAATAATAAGAATAATATATTTATATAAAGTGGGATCCTTTCATGTAAAGTTTTCTAAATGTTGATAGTCGAAATTCTACATTCTTTATTGATAAGTTGGTTTTAATTGAAAATTCGTCTTAAATTATATTCAGAACCTACCTCAAGATCACCCCATTGGCGAAAGCCCATGCCTGGCTCCATAGTGGTACTGGGGGAGTCCTGTGGAGTTGCAGCCGTTGTTGTAATTAGGGGCGGATCGCGTATAAGTCGCATCTTGGATATGCGTGGCGCCTCGTTGCGTCGATCCTTGATCGAGTATGTCTGTTGCATGCAATGTTTTAAATGAATGTGTGTTTGTCTTTCGTTGTTGTTGTTGTTGTTCCTGTTGCTGTTTCAATTGTCGTTGTTGTTCCCGTAAGTGAACTTACCTTTTTGAGGCCACCGCGAGGCTTGATGTCGTCGTGAGGGAGTAGCTTGCTGCTGGCCTCCTCGGTGTTGCTGCTGCCGCCTCCTCCTCCTCCTTGGGAGGGCAGCTCGTTGATTTGATAGTCCTGGATGGGCTGCAGAAGGCGCTGTCGATGGGTATTACTTTTGCCCTCGATGGTCAGCTCCGAAGGGTCCTGCTGCTGCTGAGGCGGCAGATAGGCAATAGGCGATAGACGATAACGATAACGATAGACGATAGATACATACTACATATGTGCATACGATACATACCGTGGACAGACTCTCTAGAGCACACGCACTCAATCAATCTCTCAATCATTCAATCATACATTCAATCAATCGATTAATCGATTAATCGATGTCATTCAATGCGTGCCACAGAGTCTCGGGTTTGAGGTATTTTCTCTTTCGTCTCTCACTCAGCTTCACTTACCTTGCGCACATCCTCAGCGCTGCGCCAGCGATTGCGTACCTCGTAGTAACTATCGTTAGTGGTCGATGAATCCGCTTCGCTGCGTGATTCATCGTACATACCATCGCTATAATTTTCGGCCAATGTCTCTTCGCGTAGTTTCTTAACCAATTCGCGCTGTTCGCGCTCGCGACGTTCATTTCGCTGAGGGAATCAAAATTTCAAAATTAGACTTTTTCGTCAACGTATCGCTTATCGTCGGGAATTCTACACGAACTATCATTGCATACTATTCGACAATGTTTCAAATATCGTATATCGATTATTTTATACTTTTCGTAAATAATTTTCAGATGTAATTCAGGATATTGTCAAACAATCGGTATAGTTATCGATTTTCTTTCGATAACTTACCGAATTTCAAAAATTATGCTTTAAGTATTAAACGATATATTTTTTTTAAAACATATTCAAGCGATAATTGAAACATTGTTTTGTGACTTTAATCGACTATTGAATCACATTCTTGATGCCAATTTTATCGTATATCGATCATTTAAGCTTGAGCATCGTTTCAATTATTTGCATTACAAATTCAAGAATATTTTCGCTTTTGGAATTTAAGTGAAACGATGCCCAAATTGGCAGAAATTTTAATTACTTTTGATGTTATTATTTTATTTTAATATTTTTAGGAAAATTTCGTTATTGGGTGTTGTTGGCAAAACTCTACCTCTGAACTGAATCCCTCAACCAAAATGGCCACCAATAAATTAAACAGCACATAATTGCCGAACGTCATTAGGGCCACAAAGTACAGTGCGGCCCAATGACTTGTCTTTTCCATGCCATTGAATAGAACCACGTTCCAATCCTCTTGCGTCAGTATCTAAAAACATTGTTTTGTTTTGTTGTTTTTTTTTTTTTGCGATGGTGGTTGTTGTAGTTGTAGATGTTGTTGTTGTTGTTGTTGTATCGGAAGTAGTTGTTGGTTTTGATGGTTTTATTTTATTTTTGGTTGGTTGATTTTTGGTTGGTTGGTTGCAGGTGGTTGCGGGCGGCAAAACGTGGTGCATATATTGATATATATATATGTTGGATATATGTATATATATATTTGATATATATGCATAATTTATGTTTATATTTGAAAGAAGCGGAAAAAGAACAAAATACCATAAACATATGTTGCATTGGATTAAAAGAAATGTAAGAAAAAAGAGAGCACAAAAAACACATCATGTTGGAGAAGCAAAACGCCAAAGTGTTAGATATTTCATTTTTTTTTTCATTTTTTTGGGTATTATATAATTGTTATAAAATTCAATATATGTTAGGTTAAATATATGATTATTATAAACCTTTAGTTTTTCCATCTCTCTGGTTTCTAACTCTTACTTTTACGCTTTTTTGATTAATTCCTTTAATTTAAGAACTTAGAACTTAAACACAAAATAGATAATGCAACCTTTTACTCTCGCCCCCGTTTTAAATAACGTTCCAAGCTTTTTCACTATCTATCGTAGGTTTTATGCCTTTTCAGAATGCGAAAAAAAAAATTAAACATAAAACAAATAAAATCAAGTCAAAAAAAATTTCTTTTTATTGTGTATCTGTATCCCGAAATTAATATAAAGTATTAAACCAAAAGTGAACTATAAAAAGGATCTATACTTTTATCCAAGATCGATTATCCTGTCCGAAGACCAACCCATTGTTACTATTTCATTTTGACAAGCCGATGCTGGTATTTTAGTTGCACAATATCTTAAATATTAAAACAACATTCAACATATAATAAGTAGAACAATTAAACGAAAAGTTTGCCATAGCGCAGTAAAAGCAATTGGCGACTGAAACTTTAATGAACTTAGGATTAAAGACACGCACTGTAAGGAACCCAGGAAACAGAACGAATCTAAGTACAAAGAATACTCGTAATTCGTGGTGTGGTTTAAAAAACACTTTAAAAACAACGCAAAGCACTCGAGAACATTTTTAACTCAAAATACAAACTCCAATTCCAAAAGAGACTTAAAAAAAGACAAGTAATTTTTTTAAATGCTGCAAAGCGCGCAAAAATCTTGCATAGAAATTCAAATTTTATAAAATACTAATGTGGTATTTTTTGTTTTGTATTTCTTTGTTTTTTTTTTTTACACGACGTGCCAATAAATAGTTGTTGCTATAGGTTCATATACAAATCGAATATATTTAGAATTCTTTTTTGTTTTTTTTTTTTGGTTTTTTTTTGGGCGTGACTGTACATGATAATATGCAATTTGAATTTGTATATATAGTATTTTTATTTATTTTTTTTTTTTATGTTGCCAAAGCGCAAAAGGCAAATGAGAATTGGTAGCTAGGCGTGAACGTAAAAGAGAAAAGAAAACGGAAACGAAGAAGAACAAAGCAGCAGCATTTGAGGCAAGGACTGGTTAAACAAGCTAAAAACAGGACAACAAACGAAGCGCTTTCCATAAAAAGTAAACACATGGCGTCTTATATGGCCTATACAGATGGTTCTTAAATATATATAATATATATATATATATATATATATATATATATATACTTATGTATATATATGTATATGTATATATATGTTTAGCTGTGTGAATAGTATATAGAATAAACGTAACGTATCACATAATGGGACTGAATGTTGAAAGCAAGGACTAAAGAAATGGAACAAAACTGATGAATTCAAGAATTGAGGAGAAATCATGCATTACGAAAGTGAGTAGTTGAAATTTTTGTTTTATATATGTTACAGGTGTGTACTGTATGTATGTTTTGTGGTATTCATGTGTCGGACTGAGAGACAGCGAGAGAAAGAGACAAAGACAGAAAGAGAGAGAGAGAGAGAGAAAGAGAGAGAAAAACAGAAAAAGAGAGCAGGAAAAAAAAACAAGTGAGAGGGAGAGCGAAATAGTGTGAGTGTGAGTGTATTTGTGTTTGTGAGACAGAGAACTTACTCAATCCGATATACCAAATAGGAAGTTGGCAATATATCAAAATATATTTGAGAGCTAATTATGTTATTATAAACACTATTAAGAAAACATTAAAGTTAATTGCATAATTTGTGTAGTATAATTGAAGATACGATTTTCTTTACATATGGTTTATTTATGAAGACATCAGATTTGGATTTATGTTTCTATTCCTTTAAGTCTTGTACATATAAAGCGATGGAAATAAATTTTATTTTACGAATTCAGATGTTTATATATCTGACAATGTATGTATTAATTCATTCGATCTTCAAATTCATTACAGCTGTGTTTAAACAATTTACTTGATTTTCATTCTAATCGAAAATTCGAACTTTGGTTTTATGGAATGTATTCAAAAATATTTAAAGAATGAAATTTTAATAGTTCGCAACACTCTCATTAAATAATTAATTAATTATTCGCTATGCTGCATGTGTGTGGAGTTGTATGTGTGTGTGTACATTTGTAAATGAATGTAAAACTACTTGTTGATTGGAAAAAGGTAGTCAGAAAACTAAGTAAAGTTGTGATAGAAGAAAAACGTAAGAACTAAAACTTATTTGAGCCAAAAAAAACTAAAGTAAACGCTAGAAAACGAGTAAAACCTATCGTTGTAGTATTTGGAAGTGAAAAAAGATATATATATATTTGTGTATAGGATAAACTAAACTAAAACTAAACGGGTATTCAAACACAATGTACGTAAAACTAGAGTTATAGATAAAGTTGAAAGAGCTGCACTTTTTGTAAGTTTTTCATTTCTTTTGGTCGTTTGCTGTTTTTTTATTTGGGTGGTTTTGTACTTAGAAAAAATAGGTAGGTAGATAGGTAATTGGTAATTGGTAGATAGGTAATTGGTATATATTTTTTTTTATATATATATATATATTTTTTTTTTTTGTGTTTATGTATTTTTGATTGTTACTGGTTCTTACTTGGAAAACTGTGACAGTGGCCCACAAAATGTTGTTGAAGTGTTTGCGATCGCATTCACATTGCGGATGTCGGCTGATTATTTCGGGACACGTACATTCGCGTTCGAGTCCTGATTCGTCCAAAAATTTACAAAACTTACCGCCAAACAGATACATGCCGAGTATGCTGTAGGTTTATACGTATATATGTTTTATATATGTATGTATATATCATATATATATATATATATATATATAATTATATAAATATATATATATTTAGTTAGAGATGTGTTCGTTGTATTATATATATATAAAGTAGTGGTATATATATGTAGTTGCGATTCGATTATGAATATATAAACGAGTACATAAGTAAGGTTAAGTAGTACGAAGTAGAGCTAAATGGCCCCTCAATTATCGATTTTTTTGCTTTATAGCTTGTTGTGTGTTTTAATATATGTATATAAAAGTTTGTGGTGTATATATTGTATATAGAGACAGTTCTGTTTATATATGTTTAAATACATAAACAAACGGTTATTTTCAGTTTCAGTTTTCTTTAGTATTTTGTTCAGTATTTTGTTGTTGCTGTTGTTGTTGTTCTTGGCCCAAGTTTATAAGTTTATAACGTAGAGCTTTGGTGGGGGTGGGTGGGAGTTTCTTTTTGTACAGATTGGATAGAACTAGTATACTTTTCATTTGTTGTTGCTGTTGTTTCTGTGTTTTATTTTAAAAAAAAGTTGAGTAAAGCAAATAAAACTGGTTTATTTTACAGAGTTTTTATTTCAATATATATATTTTTTGGTAATTTTTTTTTTATTTTATTTTTTTTTTTTTTGGGAACCTCAAACATGAACTGACAAACACTAGAGATTGTGTATATGTATGTGTGAATGTATAACATGGTTGTATATGTTGGTGTGTGGCGTGTTTGTATGTGTGGTTTAAAGTTTGAGACGTTCAGAGTTAAGTGGGTTGGCATAGTTTACAGTTAAGAGTTGAAAGTGTGAGAGTGTGTTTTTTTTTTTTTTTTTTTGTTTTTTTTGAGGAAGTTTGGGTTTGTGGGAACTGGAGTACTAAACAAACTTGGGGACTATATCGTATAGCGTACATGTATGTAAGTACCATATATACATACATAGATATAAAGATATATAATTGGGGTATATGCACAAAAAACAGAGACAGAGAAGAATAGAATAAAATGTGTATGTGTGTAAAAAATGTATGTGCGTGTGTGTGGACGTGTGTTAGTGAGCGGGGTGTTCGAGAAGACAGGCAAACGACGAGTGACATGTGAGAAAACAAACGAGACTTAAGAGTAAAGAGTATAGCGAGTTTCATAGCGTTTAGAGCGAGTGTATGTTTATCGAGCTTATAGAACAACCAAGGACCGTCAAGCAAATAATCGATAAGTTAAGTATCGGTGGCATGCGAAGCAAACGAAAAGCATAAAACAAGCAACTGATTTGCTATTGCAGGCTGTTCTTCGAACTGGAATGCTTACCTGTGCAATGTATGAATACATGTATATATATATATATCTGACTTATAAGCTAGCTATAAACGAACTATTTTACAATTCACTATTTCAACTAATATCTTAAGAGCTGATCTATTGAAAGAAGTGCATGCTTATGCGCGCTATTTTCTAATTAACTTAACTCAAAACATCGCATGCGATATTACAGCACTCGTTGCTTAAAGATACCTATCTAGCTTAGAAAGGGCAGGCACAAACGAAACAATACGAAACGATTTGTAATGGAACACAATTAAAATAAACACCACAACGAAGAAGACTACACACCACAAATTAGTGCGAGCGAGTGAGCAATCGATAAATCTATCGAAATTGTAGCACACATAAATATAAGCCAAAATAAACAAGTGAAAAAAAAAGAATTTCTCAGTTCATTAGGCGATTTTAATAGGACAGATTTTAATTTACAAATAATTAAATAAACAAAAAACAACAAAAATAACACATACGCTATTGCGCAATAAAAAAAGGACAGATTAATAGAGAGACAGAAAGAGAATGAGAACATGGGAGAGTTTGATAGACGGACAGAGAGCGGTGGGGAACACAAAATATAGCACAACAATTATAATTGAAAGTTATTGTTAACGTTATTTGTTATCGATTATGGCAAGCCTAGCACATTATGGATTGTCATCATCATCAACGAACAAACAAACACAAACGAACCAACTGAAATGTTCAACATAATCTATAAAATGATAAACTGAAGACAAAATGCTTCATTTTGTTTTTCGTTTTGCTTTTGAACATTTAGTGTTAGTTATCGATAGAGTATGGCATAAGATTAGGTGGTATATATTTAAGCATATTTGTAAGTGGTATTTATTTAATATACATATATTTAGTATGTATAAATATATAGTAAATAGTAGTTAAATGCTGATAGCAATAGGTCTACCTGAAACACTGTGACGAGCGCCCAAAGCAGGCTGTCGAAATTCTTACGATCGCAAATCTTCTCTCCGTTAATTTTCTCGCAGAATTTACATCCGAACAGATTCATGCCGAGTATACTAAAGTGATGGTTTGGTATTTGTTGATATAGTATAATATGATATACATATATATATCGATAATATAATATTCTTATAATTTTTTTTATTATGTATTATTGTTGTTATTACAATTATTATTATTTTTTTTTTGTGTTTTCGGTTTGGGGTTTTGTTGTGTTTTGTTTTAGCATACAATTTTATTAGTTCAATATTGGTTTAAAGTAATTTTTAGTATGTTTAACAATTAATTCGTATATCAATTGTGTGGTTAAAGAGAGAGAGAGAGAGACAAAAGATACAGAGAGAAAGAGATAGTTAAGGAAGAAAGAGAGAGCAGAGAGAGAACGAGAGAGAGAGAGAGAGAGAGAGAGAGAGAGAGATAGAGAGTATGTGTCTGTAAGTGAGCAGAAAGCGAGCGCTAATTTCAAACAAAGACAAAAAACTTTTGAAAAACTATTACTCAACTCAATTTTAGAGAGGACACACAAACTCAAAAATATAATCGAAACCCTTATAACTGAAAGCTCATCTTCGTGGAGACACAGCTCGCGTACAGGGTAAACAGTTACTTTAAAATACAGCTGCAGTACTCGGAAGTATTGGAGTATTTTGATAGACGTACTCAATCGGACAACTGAACTAAACTGAATGTGAAACAGAAAAGAGGCGTAGGCTGCAAATTGAAAGCTGAAGCCTAGAATTGGAGTTGTAGAAAATATTTGTATTATTCATTTATGTGTTTGTATATTAGTTGTTGTTTACTTTTATTAATTGGGGGCATTTAGTTCAAGCGTTTGATTTAGTTACTTATGAGAATATATGGTCTGAGTGGCTGTGTTCGACTTCTCTAAGTGTTTCCATTGCATATGTGATTACTATGTATGTCAAATGTATTTGTTATGAATGTTGCATTTCGCTTTTGTTCGTTTTTTTTTTTTTCGTTTTTAAATATTTAATTTGGTTTCTAACTACACAAACGTTTACGACTTTCAGAACAAAGCAATTTAACTAAACTAAACTTTGTTGTGTTTTTTTGTTGTTTTGTTTTAAAGTAGTTCGAGAACTTGGTATTTATTTATTTGTTTGGCTGTTGGTATTTTATAAAACTAAGAACCAAAAATTTTAAATGTTAAATCGAATATTATTAAAAAGCATGTACACTCAGAAGAAAACTCTCTGAATTTTACAAAATCGCCCTTAAAGAAAACTAGAAAGTCTTTCTTGTTTTCAGCAATATTAATAATAAATATTGAACTAATAAATTAGCTTATGTTGTAAAAGTTCCCTGGAAATTAGATAACACTTTCTTCAAATTCCAGAAAATTGAACACCAAAATTAAGAAATACTTTCTGAATGAATAGGGTGAGTAGCGCCAAAAGTATGGCTAATTTCCAAAGTTCAAGGAGATTTTTTTCTGAGTGTAGAATGAGGTCAGAGTATGTAGTAGTATATCAGTTACGAGTAGTTATTATTAGATATATATTATCATATATTAAGATATATATATAATTAGTATGTGGTAAGTACGAATATGTATGAAAACTGTAGCGACTGCAACTACACAAAAAGCATACGACTTTTACGTATTGTACTTTTATTGTTGTATTGTTTGTTGTTCTATCTAAGTGATGTGCGTGTTGTTCTCGTTGTTCTTGTGGTTGCTTGTTGTTGTTTCCGATTCTATTGTTTTGGAATTTTATTTAACTAAAGATTTGTGCTGCGTGTTCAGTGTTGGGTAATCTGTGTTGTTGCAAAACAAAGGCATGTACTGAGCTTAAGCGCTGAAAGTGTTATGTGTTATATGTGTCAGTTAAGTGTTTGTAAACGCTAGGAAGCTAATAGACACATTTATTTAATTTAATTGAATGAAGCTTTCGAGGCTTTTAAACTAACTTTTAACTAACTAATTGTTGAAACCATGTTATTATTGTTATTGTTGTTGCTGTTGTTAGTGTTAAATCAAATCAAAGCAGGTGAATGAAATTATGTAATTGAAGATGGTCTGAACGAGTATTTAGGATCAAGTGAGAGACGAGTAAGTATAAAAAAAACAAACGTGATTTTTAAGTATTTAAAAGCGCATAATATATGCGAGTGTTTCGGGGCTCGTAAATAAAGTGGCGAGCAGCGAGTGACGAGTAAGAAAACAAACAAACGAGTAGAGGAGATAGTTCGACTTCACTAAAAATTTAAGAACGCAATTCGTATGCGTCATCTAGCCTTAAAGTATGCAACGACTTATTGTCGGTGCTCAATATCAGATTTGGATTTTATTTTGTGTGTGATAAAAAGGGGAAGAGAGAGCAAATTGATAGGCAAAGTAGAAGAAAATCACTTGATTACAATACTGGTCAAGTGTATGTGTGTGTATGTGTGTGTGTGTGTGTCTGTGTGTGTATCATGTAACTCGAGTATTTCGTATGCAAGGTGAGCGAGCGAGCGAGTGAAAGTGTACCACAACTACCGTGTATGATAAAGACAGATAGATATAGATACAAAGAGAGAGCGAGAGACAGACAGAGAGAGAGAGAGAGAGAGTGAGAGAGAGACAGACAGAGAGAGAGAGAGGGAGAGAGAGAGAGAGAGAGGGAGAGAGAGAGAGAGCTAGAGAAGCAGGTGGCGAAAAGTAGACTGAAAGAGCAATTAAAATTGTTCAACTTGGACGTACGACTTGAATTGATTTGATTGTAAAAGTCTAACTACTAATCGAGATAACGAGTACATTTAAAAAGTAGAGCGAAAGAGAGAAAGAGACAGAGAGAAAGAGAGAGAGAGCGAGAGATAGAGAGATAGTCTTACGCAATCGTTTACTCAAATGGTACGCAAGGTATTAAAATTTTGTATATTTTGTGTAAGAGCATAAAAAGTATAGTTACAGTTATTACCAAGGTTTTATAAATATTACTAATTTTGTTGGTTTTTCTATTTTTTAAAGGGGTGGCGGTACTGGTTCTGGGGCAAGTGTTTCGTGTTGTATAACGTAGAATAAGCAGAAGAAGGAGAGAGCGAGCGCGAAAGAGAATGGGAGAGAGAGAGAGAGAGTCAATGTTTGTAGATGAGAGAGCGCTTATGCAGGTGTGTGACCAAGAGATGGAGATGGAGTGAGCGTCAGAAAGAGACAGAGATAGAGCGAGAGAAAGGCAGAGACGGAGAGAGAAGAAGCATGTGTGTGTGTGTGTGTGTGTGTGTATGTGTATGTGTGTGTGAACGATCTGTTCTGAATGTTTTTGCGTGTGTTTCTCTTTGTTGTTTTGTTTGTTTGTTGCTTGGGATTTTTATAGGCTAGCGGAAAGAATGGGTTTTATTGTTAGTGGTATGCAACTACAAATGTATGCATATAGGTATTAGCTAGACACTTAAGTATTATCAGAGCTCTAAGGTCTGTTTAATATTAGTCTTGAGTAAAATCGTCGTAAATCGACCGACTCCTATATACACATATGGGCTAACAAAACAATCAACTGGCTTGTGGTTCAGTGGGTCATTGGGTTTATTGGGTCACTTCTTGGGTGATTTGTGTTTAATGGGGTTTACGATTCTATACAGCTTCAGGAAATTGTTTTTATTGGAATTATCGCAGTGCTTACTTTTGGCCACATGAATGTGCTGGCAAGTCGTGGAAAATTATAAAAAAATGAGAATATTTTCCAAATAAAAACGATTTTTAAAAATAAAATTTCGTTTATGACTAAATTGTTCAAGTGTTTTTTTTAATGGAACTTTAGATAATATCTACGTTTTAAGCTAAATAGACCATGAACATGTTTAAGTATCTTTTCTGATACAATTCTGTGCTCTAAATATTTAATTTATTAAAATTTCCATTCTTGCCAGCGATTTCATGGCGCCCTTGTTATTTTTCTTTCTTTCTTTTTTTGTTTGTTTTGTTTTTCTTGTTATTTAGATGTTTGTAATCTTTCATTGTCATGTTAGTTGATGTTAAAAAAATGAAGGGCAGAAGGCGCAAACGTCATTTGCAGACATCCAACCTCAAAGCATTAGTTGTAGTTTCAATGTATGTTATATGTACATTGTTGTGTGTGTACATGTATATGTATGTAACAAGTGTCGGTGTGTGTTGTAATTGTTGTTACCTATTATTGTAATGTTGAGTGCGGCAACAATGGAACTCACCTGAATATGAATATAAAGAGTACGAGCAGGGAGAAGAAGACAGCGACATTGTCCATGGTGCGCAGCATGACAAATAATTGACGCCTCAAATTGGGCATAAACCGGACCAGCTTAAGGATGCGCAGGAGTCGAAAGGTGCGCAACACAGATAAACCCGAACCGCCGCCACCAGTCCCGTTGCCAGCAAATGTTTGACAGATCTCAATGGCGCTGAATAAATGCGAAAAAATACATAAATTTATATATAGAGTATATGGGATGGGTATGGGTATTCCATCGTTTCAGTCTCACCTGAGTATGACAATGATGCCATCGAAGACATTGAAACCATTTGCTATGTAGCGGAAGGGTCCCTCTGCAATGACCTTGAGCAACATTTCAACGGCAAAGATGCCAGAGAATACCACATTGCTCGTCTCCACAATGGCTGTGAGCTCATCGGGCTGATCATGATACTCAATGCCCATGGACAGGGTATTGATTAGTATAGCGAGAAGTATGCCCTGCTGGAAATACTTGTGCTCCACAAGCCGTTTAATATACCTCCGGATCCAGCTGCAGACGCGCATCAGGCAGCGATAGATGGCGATAATTAGACGAAGGATGCCCGAACGTGGACGCCGCCGTTCATCCAATGGGGATAGTGCATTCTGATAGAGATCATAGCAGCAGGCATAATCCTCCATGTAGTTGCCGGTGGGGGCGTGGCTGTTACGCTGCTTATTGTTGCGATTGTTCTTGCTGTTGCTATTATTGTTGTTGTGATTGTTATTATTGTTATTGTTGTTGTTATGCTGATTTTGCTGATGATGCTGATGGTCCTTGCGACGATTCTGCATTTGTGCCTCCCCACTCCGTCCCTGGCCCAGTGGCAGAGCAGTGGCCGTGGCCAAGGGTCCATGGGGTACAGCTGCCGAAACAGCCGCTAGCTCAAGACTCATTGCGGGCGCCAGAGTCGATGACGGCATCTGCTCTGTACCAGTGTTGTCCAGCAGATCGACGGCAGTTGTGGCTGCATTTGCAGCTGAACCGGTGCCTGATGTTGGTGCCACCACAACGCCGGCAGCCACAGCGGCTGCAATGCGCTTCTGTTGCACCTTGTTGAATGCATCGACAGTGTGGGGATCGCAGCGGGCGAGCGATGAGTAAAATGACTCGAGCGTGCTTTGACCCGTGGGCAATGCCGCTGAAAAGGCCACAGAGAATGCTAAAAGCTCTTGACAAGTCATCGCGTCGTGTATACCCAATTCAGAGCAATCGGCGTACGGATTGGCAATGGTGCCGATGGTCTGCGGTAGATTCACCTACAATTGCACATACAACACATGCAGAAAGAAAGACAACGAATTAATTATTTGCTTGTATTTACTCAACATTGAAAGGGTCTAAGTTTGAGAGAGATAGATAGAGAGAGAGAGAGAGAGAGAGACAGCGAGAATTCTCTAATTATCGAAAAGCTTTGACTTCTCATTTATATGAGCCACATATTTATATTGAGCCACATTCTTAATTTGACGTTAAAGATTTTATTATTGCGGAATGAATAACTCTTGAATCAATAATTGGAATTTAGTGCTTAGTATGTCCATTTTAGAGGGTCTCTTTGTGGTGATTCACTTTTTTTGTATTGATTTCATTTTAAAGCACAGATAGAGTTGGAAGGAGCGCTTAAATGGACAGTTGAACTCACCTGCCAGATGCTGCCATCGCCCACCTGTGTCATCTTCTCCGTTGATAGAATGTTGTTTTTTTCCAGGTTGGCCGAAAGTTGGTTGCTGCTGCTGCCGCTGTTACTGCCAATGCTTGCTGATGTTGCCGAAGGTGCAATTGTTGCTGCGGTTGGTCCACTTGTTGTTGGTATCGTTGTGGTGGTGGCCGCAGCAGCAGCAGCGCCGGTGCCACTGGACGCTGGCTCGGCACTGAGCGCCGGCGGGGTGTGCAGCAGGACATATTCATTAAACATCACCGAGGGCCGGCGGCTGGCCGATGTGGGGGGACTGAGGAAGCCCGAGGTGCAGGGATTGCTCTACAGAGGAGGCAACACAGCACAGAAATACAAAAAAAAAAAATAACGGATCCCGAAGAGAAAGAAATCATGTATATTAGTTGGGTCACGACTTGGGCACAGTTTCAAATTGGGGATCATGTTACAAATGAATCGACATATATGTTGATTCAATTTCAGTTTGAATCTCGAACTGGAAAATGGTAAAACTTCTGGGACTATGTACAAAGGACATGAGATACAAGGCTTCCAAGAACTAAAGTTAATCTGGAAACGAATTTTAACAACTAAATAATTTTAGGAAATGGTTGCATTCTCAGGGAGTGCTGAACTTGGAACACTTCAAAAAATATTAGGTTATTTAAAAAAATATATATATTAATCAATTCCCCAAGTTAATGAGCAAAGAAAAAGACTGACTTATGTGAAAGACTTCAATATTATATTGGTTTTAGGTAAATTATAATATTGATGCCTTTAGATTTGTGTCCTTGGCTTAACAAGTGGTAACACTACTACTTCTCTGAGGACTTCCCAAGTTTTGAATTGAATTTGTTTGTTTGCTTCTAATGCCGATGGCACTTATTTAAGTTTAGGAATCCAATAAATTAACGAAATGTCGAAATTATATTTACAGAACAATTCTAACTTTTACATAACTTTCTCGACAAATTACCTAAAATGTTATTATTTTAAATGAAAATTGGGGTCGACTCCATTTTAAACACAAATCACTTAAATTGACTGTCACTTTTTATTCATGAATCTATTGTTGTTGCTTTTTGTTGCTCTTGCCGCCCACAAAGCTGTATCTCTCTTTATCGAGAGAATAACCCAATTTACATATGTAATGAAATAAAACAATATATTTTAATATTTAAATGTCATTTGAACAATGGGAATATTTAAACAATGGACGTCAACAGTCAACGAGCAATGCCGGGCCATCAATTGCTAATTGTTTTCATTTTAATAGACGCCATTTTGTTTTATTGCCCGAGTTTTAATTGTTTTATTTATTATTTAATTGCAGGTATGTATGGCATATTAATGGTCATTTAGTTATGCCCTAGCAGAATATAGTTAACAATTTCAAAATGTATTTTATATTTGTATGTACATATAAATATTACATTTAGATACATTGCGTGTTCTGAAACTAATTTGATTCGTTTGATTTTGATCACTTTTTAGCTGTTGTTGACGGACTTGAAAGTGTTTTTTAGGTTTGACTTTGTCATATTTCTTGAATCAAATGGATCGATTACTATATTTTTAAGGAATGATTTGAATTTATATTTCCGCTTGGGCTGCCTCGGTTAACCGAAGTTTTCTTTCTAATTTATATTCCTTATATTATTTACGGATTTTAGTTGTGATAGATTGCAATACCTTGCCTAAATTTCCCAACTGCAGCTACGCGATGTGCAACGTTCATGACAAATATGAAAGATCATTATTAGCGGTATTACATAGTAAGTAAGTTAGTAGATTGTCATAGGTATGTATGTACATTATTGGAGTTGGTATTATTGATTGTCTGTTTTTGTGGAGATATTTCAATTTGGAATTTCTGTTCTAACGGTACTGTTTGGAATTTAAATATCATATATGTATCATATATCAAGTAGCGTATGTCGTAAATGGTATATCGAATTAGTGTCAGCTATTGTTGATGGACAAATTCAACCAGTTCGCTGAAATTTAGTTCAGATCACTATGTCGAATATCGCATATAATAATATAATATATATGTATATCTCATATGTATTATGCTGTATTTTGTAAAGTAAATCGTATTTAGTACATTGTATATCGTATATGGTGTATTGTAGATGGAACATCGTAATATAATATCACAAATAGTTATTTTATAAATAATGTATCGTATCGTAAATGATGTGTACAAAAGCGTACTAATTTGTATATAATATTATATATGATCTATCAGATTTGAAATATTATTAATGGTGTATCCTATATAGTATTATACGAGTAGTATTGTGTATTTCATATCGTATTTAGCTTATCGAATCATATGATCTGAGAATTTGAATTGTGAATCGGTTTATCTTCGGGTAGTTTGGAGTTTCTTTGGAGTCTGAGTTTCTTTTTTTTATGGGATATTGTTCGCTTAGTTCTTCTCTCGGATACTTACAATCAGTTGCTCCGAGTCGATGACCTGCTGCGGCAACTTGAGCAGGATTGTCTTCTGCTGCTGGTCGAGGGCTCCACCACCATCCGGCGGCATCAGCTGCATATTGTGAGTGGGTTTCTTCAACGACGACGTGCGGCGAGCAATTCCCGAACCGCTGCCTGCCTCGTCTGTGTTGTCTGATGAGGATAGCTGTGGTGCCGACGCACCACCTGCACTTGCACCACTTATCAGCTGTTGATGTTGCGTCATTGTGACGCTGGCTGCGCTCCCATTAATACCGTTAATTAGAGCCACAGTGGTGTGATTGCCAGCGGCGCCAGTGCTGCCGTTGTTGCTGCTGCTATTGTTGTTGCTGTTGTTGTGGTTGTTGTTGTTATTGTTGGAATTGAGCGGAACCATAACGGTAATCATCTGATCCTGCATGCTGGACGGCTTGCGATTACTGTACTTGGGGCAATTCGGATGATGGCATTTGATCCGTGACGGCGAAAATGTCAAATTGTCCGCATTGGGCAGCAGACCCTCCCGACGTTGCTGGCGCTGATACCTGCAGCAAGGACGACGTCAAGGACGACAGCAGTTCGAGGGGAAGAAGGCGAAAAGGGCAAAGGGCACAAATATATATATATGATAAGTGTGTTGTCACTTGGCAAATCATGCATAATATATCCACACACATACATGTACACACACAAACACATACACACACACAAACACACACACACACACACACACACACACACACACACACACACACAAACACACACATTGTTTAAGGATGGTATTGCGTGCTACTTCGGGCGGGACCTCTTTGCAGTCATTAGAATGTGCTTCTTTACGGGAGGTGGACTTGTGTGTGTGTGCGAGGTGTGCAAGGTGTGCTTGTGTGCTGTCTGTGTGTGCTTAACAATTAGACAACAATTACATAACTCAATCAAATAAACAACGCAAATCAGACCAAAAACAATGCCAACAACAACAATAAACGAGCGTCAAACAAGACGAGAATACAAATTAAATCAAGTGAGAGGTGTTATTTTCGGATTACCGAAAACTAAATACCCTTGCAGACCTAATATTCTGTTGTAATGAATATTTAACAGTATAAAATATCGTACTACAAGAGTTAGTCTCTTATTATATCAAAAGTGAACTAATCAATGACAAGTTTCATTAAGTTAGCTTCAGAGTATTCATAGAATCGGACATATAATCAATCATTTTTTGTTTACTTGTTTGAGATATGGTTTGAGTAAGTATAAGAATCACACGGATTAGCTTTATCTACTCAGCTCCGCGCCATTTCTTGGCTTTACTTTAATACGGTACACGATGTATAAGTCAATTTTGAATACCCACTGCAAGGCTATACAAGTAATTTACACATTATCCAGCAATTTTGTGGTAATGAGACTGGGGGGTTTGGGTGAGTTGCTGGGCTGGGCATGTTACACATTCCAACACGAGAAGATGTTGTGCGTGTAGTCTGAACTTCTACAAATGCATTTATGTATTGAAATCGATTTAAAGCTGATTGTTTTACTAGCTAAAAGTAGCACTTCATCACTATAACCCAATTGAAGCTTTAAGCTACTTAACATTTTACAGACAGACAGAGAGAGAGAGAGAGAAGGAAAGATAGAGAGAGAGAGAGGGAGAGATAGAGATAGAGAGCGTCTTATGCCCTTATGCAACACTGGGAATTTTAATTGAAACACACACACTAAAATCATTCCAAAAGACTCCAGTTGCAGAATAATATAATTGAGAGCCCTTAAAGCCCACTAATGTTAATCGGATGCTAAAGTGCCACATGTGAAGTATGTTAATGAGTAATAAGCAAATCAATGCCCATAAATTAGTTGCAATATTAACATTGAGACTTGAGGCAGTTTGCCAACTAACCTAAAAATATCGTAAATCTAGCTTGCTACACTTAAAACCTATTTTTGTATGTAGGCCACTTGATTCCCGTTCACATTCGCCATTTGCAACGATATTTCATGACTAAGTTTTTACACTATGCAATATTCAATACAATATCGTATTATTGTTCTTTGGAACTACACACACTTACACACACACACACACACACATACACACGTACACTTAGAGAACAACATACACACTCATTCATACGACCAGATGCAAGTGCAAATAATTGAAAAGCAAAAGCCATAAAAAATGCATAACCCAAAAGTTGGCAACTGTAAAAGCAAAAAATCAACAAAACACTGAGAAAAAAAGTATACAAAAATAAAAGAGACGAAAAAAAAGAGGTGAAACGCATAAAATACGAGCGCGCCAGGATACGTGAGCTGCAGTGCAGGACAGTACAGGACACAGTATACAGGACGTGAGAAGCAGAACGCATGTTAAATGAATATTTAATAAATCAAAGAAAATATTGTAAGCGAGAATGCACAACTCGAAGGTCAGGTTCGAGTTCAATTGCTGCAAATAAATTGCAATAAAATCAATCGAGAGCCCATTATCTGCGCCAGGGGGATGGTTGGCTGAGGCTAATCCACATATATTTTCCCATTTTTTATCGATATCGAGGGCAAGTTATGTCAGGTAATTTTCTTTCAATAATAAATCACAATAGAAGCCTCTCTTTAATGGAACGGGCGGCGCAACTATATTTCTATACTTTAGTTGGTAAAGTCGATTTCTTCTGCTTTTGTATTATTCAGGATATAACATATTCAAAACATCAGATCATTAAAGAATCCGAATCTTAAGTCTACAAATAAACAGGAATTCTGGTAAAAAAAATGAGTATCTGTAATTGCCAAGTAAATTTGAAGCAAACTGTCGAATATTCATGTGTGAATAATTGAACTTGGCCAACATCAAATTGAGTTTACTGACGGAGGCTTAAGATGTTAAAGTGATAAGCCGTTAGGTAAATGCTAAATCCCTGAGTCCCAAAACTGAGTCAATCGTTTAATGTGAGATGCTTCTAAGCTAAGAATCTCAATCAAATGGAATCAAGGGGTTGGATTATGACAGGGGTTAGTCATCACAAAAAGATGAAGATGGACGCTGCAATGTGGCAGTTGCAGATATTGTTGTTGTGTAAGCTAAGCAATTTTGAAGTTCATATTAATATTTAACGTTGATTTTGTACAGTGAGAAAAACAAGAGGACAATTGAACGATAAACAGGAGAACAGTTGAACAATAAACAGAAAACATAATTGAATCAACTGAAAATAGTCAAGCAGCATACTTATATAATCTGTACTTCTTTAACATTCGTCTCTTGAAGCGACGCCACAGATGCGCAATATATTTAACGATCTCTGCATAACAAGTCGCCGGCTCCGAGTTATTCGTGCTGCTCGCCAGCGTTGACGTGGACGTATAACGGGCCCGCTCCTGCCTCATCCGCTCCATTTCGCGCTTCTTCGTCTCCGAGAACTGGGTGGCAATAACGACCAGGCACAGGTTGATCATGAAGAACGAACCAATCTGTAAGAGAAGGCGGAGAAAGAGAGATAAATAATTAATCCAGAGATCAAACCTTGATTAAAAAAGATATAGAAATAGTTTCTCTTTATGAACGGATCTTGATAAATGATTTAAACTTTGCTTAGGGGTATTGGTAGTTATGAGGGGACAACAGTTTGTTTCCACGAATTGAGGCACCGACTTGCAACAGGAAACAGGCAACATTCAACTGCTGCTCAATTTATCTCTAGTCGAGGAATTGCGGAGTAGCCAAAATTGTGTAACTTTTGATTTGTTGTGCGTTCAATGGGTTTTCTGCAAATTAGTTGAACTGCCAAGTTCACTTGCTCTATCCCATCCCACTCTGCACCCTCTCACACTCTCTTCCCCTCTCTCTCTCTCTCTCCCTCCCTCTCACTCTCTCCTTTTCTCTATAGACTGGCATCCATTAGATGCTGTTGCATAATAATAGCTTTCTGGCAAAACAAATTTGCCAACTTTAAATTGAAAACATATTTCAACAACAATAGCAACAACAACAGCGTACAGCAAGAAAGGGAACTACAGGAAAAAATGTGCAAATTATAGATATCCTTTAAATTAGTACGCTTCTTGTTCTTCGAACTGTTTACGACAATTCTACTTTATAGATTTTAATTGTAAATATTTTGTAAAATTAATGTTTTCAAGCAAATTTTGTTTCGAGAGGTTTCTAAGCATTTCGTTGGCTGTCCAAATCTATTTGGTATTTGCCACTAGTTTACAGGGTATACTAAGAAAAATGTTTCTAATTTTCATATTTGTATGTTGCGCTCGCTGCACAAAATGCTTCTAGGAGCATAAATATGCAATTTCCTTGTCATTCATAGTCATAACAGGCAACTTTCGATAGGTAATGCAGAGTGGAAGACGATCCATATAGACTGGTAGGGGATATAGACTGAAGAGGGTGGATATGCCTGGCGTACACGGTAAGCTATTTGCATATTAAAAATTGTTACAGTTTCTGTTTTCTGTGCAATAGCAAAAATCATTTTGAACGCAAAATGAGCAGCAAACAAACCAGCTGAACGGGCGAGCGAGACAGCTAGCGTGAGGTGCGAGCAGGACAGAGAGCGCTCGATGTGAGCAAAGTTTAAACATAAATAATGAAATTGTGCACATCTGACTAAGCGTGTGTATGTGTCGGAGTCTAATAGTGTGTGTGTGTGTGTGTATGTGTGTGTGTGTGTGTGTGTGTGTGTGTGTGTGTGAATAAGGCTTTTAATTAGACCAAGGGCACCTGACCTTACACACCCTTACACATACACACACATAATGTTGCAAGACACAGCAGCTTGCAACATGTTTCCCAGTTGGTCAGTTGCAAGTTCACACAAAGCACGCCAACTGCCACTTCACATTTCAATTGACAAACTTTTGTGGTTTGTTAATACTGTGCATATATATGCGTGTGTGAGAACACAGTTGGAAAGTAATTTTCTTATTTATGTTTTCAAATAACTTTTGCTGCAGCTTTTGTGAGTTGGATTGCACATAAGAATCAAAATAAGAGAACAGAGCCTTGTACATATTACCTTTCAAAGTGCACATTTCACAAATTTATCTTATGAAATAGACAATAGAAAATATTCGTCGATTATATATGATTTGAGAACAATTGCAGCAAATAGCGCTAGTTTGCTAGCATGGAAAAAAGAAAGTGCAAATCTCATTTCTTTCTTCATTATAGAAGTGAAAATCTTAAATAACAATTAAAATTCCTAATTCAGAGTTGTAATCTCAAATCTTAAATTTTTGTGTACACTTACCACAATTAGCAGGACAAAGTAGATCCAGTCCCAAAAGCTATGCGCATCCTGCACATAATACATAATATCTGTCCAGCCTTCCAACGATATGACCTGCAAAGGAGAGTTGCAAAAGTGTTGATATTTTCTTTAAGCGTAATTAGCGAGAAGCAGCTCAAAAGTCAACAATAACAACGACAATAAATGTAAGGATAATTATTCGACTGTTTTGCATCACGTCACGTATGCGTAATATTTTTGGTTCGCTTTGTGCCTTCGCTACGTGCCGTAACATGTCCAGTTCTGACCGCATCGCAGCTGGTTTAATGCATATTTGATTTGTGCTTAATTGCGGAGCATTTAAACGCCACCCCAACAACCATCACCCCATTTGGTTACATTAGCAACCCCTAATGGGCAAATATGAAAGTCACAAATCAAAGCAGAAGGACGATGAACGAGCGTGGAAAATGAGGAGAGTGACAAGAAGGATATGAGTGCTTATTTCATTGGCAGCAGATGTATCTGTGTTTATTTATCTGAATCGATTGCCTTTATCAAAATCGAAAACTGTATATTATATATAATATATGCAATGTTTAGCATATTATTCTATTTTTTTTTGTACATTTTACATGAATCTTGTATTTTATATGTATCTTGTTGCTACACCTGTATCTATTTTCTAATATTTCATGATTTTATTTATTTTACTGTCTGTTGATACCAGCATGAGTATTTATTTATGCAGTAATTGTTAGCTGATTATAGAATACTTATAAGAAATATAGTAATTTATATTTCTAGGCAGCGACCGAAAACAAAAGCCCAACAAGTGCATTATGTAAAATCGCCGATTTAAGCGGACTAATTTTGTAGCCAGCCAAGTAATCTGTTTTCAAAACGGTTCTATTAAACTCTAATGAGATTGACAAGATGATTGGCTGCAGGCAGCATGTTGACAGCACTGACTATTGACATATTGCGCATACGCCGCATTGGTCCGCGGAGGCAAAAAACACGTCCAGCTAGAACCCCTTGCATGCCCTATGCAAATTGACAGATGTTGTTTTACTTGTTGTTGTTATTTTAATTGAAAGCGATGCCAAAAGTGGCAGCTGCCACCGCATTTGACAACGTGTCCTGTTACCCCGTCTGGTGTATTGAGGGTCCTGTGTCAATGTTGTCATTGTTATTTGTGTAAGCAAAAGTTGAAGCACTAATTGGTTAACTCAGTGAGTCAAAATGCAACGAAGGAGAGAACTCACCAGAAATATGGCCACCCAAGCCATGCCGATGTTGTCAAAGGATATGGTGCCCTGGAAAGGATTCTCGCCGCTCTGTTTACAGCTCGTGTAATACTGATTCCAATTCACGCACGATGTGTTCGTCGGCTCATTCAGGTCCAGCAGCTTGGCCTCCTCTGCGAAAATTACATAGTAGAGATAGCAGATGGTTAGCGAGTAGTCTGCTTACGGGTTGGGTTGGGTGTCGGAGGTTGGGTTGGTCTTTGGTCTGGGTGGGAGGTGGTGTGATGGTGCTACAAAGTTAAGCAAAGAGCCCGAGCGCGAGAGCAATTAAAATTGCCATCAAAATTTGATTAACACGTCCCATTTTCACCTCATTAAGTCAGAGCTTTGAGCTTACCGTGGTTGGCGGGGAGGGCGTTGTTGGGATTTAGTTTGTGAGGGGATTCGGGAGATGGTTGAGGTATTACGTTAACTTACCGCTGCAGACCAGCGAGCCAATGCGATAGGGCGGAAAATTGCCGCACAGATGCATGCCCGAATCTTCGGGCGTGGAGCAGATATAGTCCTGATCCTTGGAGAACTCATAATATTGCGAGAGGCTGCGAGATTTATTTTATTGTTTTTTTTTTCGTATAGAAAATGTTTTCCATTGCAAATCGTTAAAAACAAGTTTCGAAAATCAGACAGACAGAAAAGAAACATATTTATATATAGAGAGAGAGAGAGAGAGACAGAGGCGGACAATGACAAAGAAAAGAACACAGAGAAAGAGAGAGAGAGAGAAAGAAAGAGAGAGTGAGAGAGAGAGAGAGAGAGAGAGAGAGAGAGCACAAAAAGAATCGTTTTTTAACAATCGAAGTTCATATAAATATTACAGACAATATATAATTATAATAATTGATACGTAGAGTCAATGCCATTATGCGATTACGAATATTTGTAACATTTACATATACATGGACAATTGGAGAGAGTACGTTGAAAAGATCTATGAGAAATATATATATTGAGATTTGAGTTTTCTTTTGATTTGTTCGTATGAGTAATTTGGTGCTTAATTTTTGAGTTTTGCGCTTTTGAGAATTTTGCTAATGACTGTTAGAGCCACACAGCCATACTGAGAGCACATACCACTAATTAGAGTGCGTGAAGCGATAGAGACAGAGAGATATACAGATCGAGAGAGAGAGAGAGAGAGAGAGTGAGTGATAGAGTGATAGAGTGATAGAGTGAGTGAGCGAGCCAATTAATGAAGCATCTTATGTGACAGATTGAGACACGTTGAGCCAATGCATAATCCAATACAAAAGTGAATAGCGAGAAAATGAGAAACAAGTTGTATATACGACTGTGAATGCGTGTTGGTGTGAATTGAAAGCTTGAGAGTAAGCCTTGAGCTTTTGAAAAGTACGATTATTGATTTGAAGCTTTAAGCTAGCCAAAGGCAGAAAGCTGATCATTCAACATAAAGGACAGGAAAGGCGCAAAGCTCTTCAAGCAAGGCCAAGTAAGCGTTGATCGTTCAAGCGAAAAATGATCGCTTCGATCTGGAATTAAAAGTTTTTAAAAGTAAGCTTTAAGCTGACGAATTTATTATGAGCGTTGTTAATTTTCAGAGTGAATAGCGTCAAGCCTTGAGCGTGAGAGAGTCGCCAAACTTTAAGAGCAGAAGCGACCACAATCAAAATATGCAAAAAGCGTAAGAGTTAGCAAGAGAGAGAGAGAGAGAGAGAAAGTTGTGAAAGAGAGACAAAGCCGATGAACCTGTGACAATATCAAATATGCCAAATAGTAAAGCACAGTCTACAAGCACAACTGTACCTGTTAACCAAATACAGAGTGAGAGAGAGAGAGAGTGAATGCTAGAGTGAGAGCTTTAAAAAGAGACGGCTAATCCGAAATCGACATAAAACGTAGACAATAAAAAAGTGCGCACTCAAAAGAAACCACTCACAAAATTAAAACTTAACCAGCAGGAATTATAAAACAATAATGAAGGGAACAAATAAGTCCAACAGCAACAGAAGATAAAACAGAACTGAATAAGCAGCACAAGTTACAGCAAAGCAATTTAAATTAAATGCGTGACGCTACCGCAAAATGGACGAAGGGGTCGCAGCGGCACGGGGTGGAGAGTGGGGTGGGCGGGCTGACGGAGACGGAGACAGAGACGGAGAGGTACCTCACCAAAAAATGTCAACGTAAATGTACGTGTATGTGTGTGTGTGTGTGTATGTGTGAGTGACAATAAAATGTGTTTAATATGCACGTGCGCGCACCAGCAACAAGCCCAACAACAAATCATAAGTGAGCACGTTGAAGTCGAGCATAACCGACTGCGAAATACTCAGATAGCAATAGGGTGTTACCAGCAATATACCTTTCAAGTGTTGTGACTCTAGCTTTCAAATTCTGTGAGATATATATTGTTGTATCGATTGTTTTTTTTATCGATCTTAAAAGCTCTTAAAAGTTTCCGGTAAAAAACTTTCAAAATTTGGTGACTAGCTTAAAAGTTATGGAAGAACTGCGCATTGTCTGAAGACGGAGCTGGACTTGACCGATGTCTGATCTTTGGATAGCAAAGAACCCATCAACCGAACCTGGTGACTGTAGCCTTAAAATTGTGGAAGATATTATAAATTTCATCAATTTCCTAGCACCTCAGTTTTAGCACTTTGTCTGACGATGGCATAATATAGGAAAAGGTTGCAAGTTTTAGGTCTCTAGCTTTTAAAGGTGTGGAAAAAGTTTGCGTTCATACGGACGGACTACTAAACGGAAAACTAATATACCCTTGCATCTTCGGTACCCGAGTACACAAATTTTTCAAATAATAAAATTTTCAGGCAGCACAATTCTCGCGCAAAAGTATGCAAAACTTTGATATTCATGTGTGTGTGTGTGTGTGTGTATGTGTATGTGGTGTGTGTATGTGTGGAGTATGTAATGTGACTTTAATTTGGATTATTGTTGTAGCTTCCCATTTTTGTGGCAAGCTGTGTGGAGACGGGGAGAGAGATGGGTGTCGGGCGTTTGTTATAGTAGGGGCGGGCAGCTTTAAATACCTTTGCAATAGAAACTGATGGTTTTTCCTGTAAAAAGAGTTGAGCTTACAAAATATACACACACATACACACAGAGATAACATATAGGCATGTGCGTTTGTGTGTTCTTTGGCGTAAGTGTGTGTGTGTGTGTCTGTGTGTGTGTGTGTGTCTGTGTGTTTGTGTGCGAACAAAAATATTTGCAAATAACAAACAGATCAGAATTTGCTTGCCAGGGAACTGCTCGGAGAATTTTCTAGGGATACGCTAATAAAAACGCTCTAAAAAAACATAAAATGTGTTTTTGATTGTGTGTGTGTGAGTGTGTGCTTGTGTGTGTAGTGCCTAATTGGTGTGCTTGTTGTGAGTTTTACATATTTGGTATTTGGTAGGCTGTAGTTCTCCCTATTTTTTTTTGCTTTTGGGGTCAGTTTCACAACAAACCAAAACTCCAAAAGGAACTCAATTAGAAACTGAAAAAGGCAACAGACAGAGACAGGGAGAAAGTGGGAGAGAGAGAGAGAGAAATACACAGACATACACAGAGATAACATCAAATCTAATAAAAAAATACAATGTTAAGAAACAAACAACAAAACTTGAGGCACGTTTGTGTAGTTCAAGTTGAAATTTATTGGTTAAACATTTACGAGTACACCAGTACCCGAGTATGAATGCAAGTATTCACTACAACGACATAAACAGACACACAGATACACACACACACACACAAAGACATAGAGAGCGAGAGGAGGCTACAAAACATTACGAGTAATTAGTATCTGCGGCAGGTGTGCGAGTGTGCGAGTGTAGAAGTGTGTGTTATTGGTGTTAAAAGAGTAAGGACTAATGACCCAGTGGCCGCAAGTGGCGTTGATTCAAGCGAAAGAGTAGAAGCTTTAAGCTCAATTCGAAACTTCTGAGACTGTGATGAGCGAAGAGCCACGAGTCGAATTCGAAGATCAGTAAAAGTTAATCGGTTTTCAGAAAAAGACGGGAAACATTTCAGTGTGTTGAGCACTGGTCACAGAAGTAAGAAAATATTATATCTTTATTTCATTCATTGATGAACATCTCAGCCAGATGGCTGGCTTTATTTTGCTTAGTGCTTTAACATTTTATTAAGTCTGGCTTCTCGCTTCACTTCTAAAAATAGATTCTTGTTGCTTCTTGCTTGACATCTGCACGTTTCTCGCTGCCACTCAGTCAGTCAGCCACCTAAGTGTTCCGTTAGTTACAGTAATTAGTGCTGCATAACGTGTCAAGCCAATACGAGAGACAGTGTTTGTGAGTTGAGTAACGTTTAATTGAGCTGTTAGTGTTGGTGGTTGTTGTTATAGTTATAATCTATACAAAGGATATGTATATCAATGTAGTTTAAAAGTATTAAGTATGTATTTAATTTGTTTAATCAAATATCTGCACATATTACTTATAAAGTGTATAAGAGAGAACCTGAGAGTAAAATATTCGTTAAGTGTTACATACATAATCATATATATAATGTATATATATATATATATATAGATATATATGTATATAGATATATTGAACAGAATGCTTGGTAGCACTTATAGAATAGACATAGGTGGGAGGAGAACAGCCAGCTAGAGCTTAGCAGGATAGAGAGATATATATAAAGAGAGGCAGAGAGATATATAGAGAGAGAGAGACAGAGCATGTATCACAGAATAGAGCAATCGGGTTAAGTGCTGGCGATATACATATATGGAAGTTTTTGCTAGGGATTAGCTAGCGAGCGAGCGCTTGCTTTACGTTTACGGATTAGAATAGAATATAGAAAGAGAAAGATTACGCTATGGAGAGAGAGAGAGAGAGAGACAGATAGAGCGAGCGAGAACTAATAGACAACTAGGGTTCGAATATGTGTGTATTGTTGTTGTGTTGTTATTGTTATAAAGTTTTTTTTTTTGTTAATTAAATTTTCTTTTAGTATTTGTGTGGTATTTGTTTCGGTATTTTATTGTATTTTTTTTTTTTTTGTTTTTTTTTTGTATGTGTGGTTTTGTGTGGGTAGGTATTAAAAGGGGGAAAATAAATCATTTTATCTTACGAGTTAACACGGACTCGAACTCTGTACACTTCAGGTAGTCCCCTGTAAACAAAAAGTTTGTTCCCGGTATGATTTTTGTATTGGTTTTTTTTTTCTTTGGTATTGATATTTAATTCACTTGAAAATTTTAATTAATCATTTCAAAACTTGAAACTCAATACGACAAACAATAATTGGAAAATATATATATATAGTAGAAATTTTGGAGTATTTTTTCAAGAATTTTTGTTCAATATTTTTTCAACATTTCTTCACTTGGCTGCCAATGTATCAATTCAAATTGTATTTGTAACTAATATGTTGTTTATTGTATTTTGCCGTTTTTCGACATGTTCAACTAAAACAAAATAAACACAACAATTTATAGAAAATAACAAAAGAAAAATATAATAAGATAGAAATGAAAAAGTATTAATATCCATACATTTATATATGTTGTATATTTGTGGTATATATTTGTATAATTGTTTGAGTCTGTTGTTGCTCTGATTTTTGTTACTGTTAGTTGCTGTTGTTTGCTTGTTTGTTTTGTCTGTACTCTGCCCAAAAAAAAAGTAAATAAAAAGAAAGAAAAAAAGAAAAATAAATTTAATAATCTGCGCCTTTTGGTAAAGGTCGCCCTGAGATTGTTGCTCAATGGGCGAATGAATCTTGAGTTAGTTTTGCACCTGATTCTACGAAGGTGCACCACTGCATGTGGGTCTGTATGTGTGAGTGTGAACAATGTACGAATGAGTGTTGTTAAACATTTTCAACTCAACACAAAACTTGAAAAACAGCTAAATAAGTTCGATCTTAACCTGGACTTCGGATAAGGCCCTTCCATATTAATTATTAAATCAAAAAATGATAGCTAAAAAATACTCAATCTGTACTAAGAAAAATCTTACAATCTTGTAAGTTATTATTGAAACAAATAAAAGGGGAAATTTTATCGCTTGACTGATCAATCTGATGTTCTTTGAGTTTTAATAAAAATTAAATTTCTATGTAAAAGTCGACTTGGGTGTAAGATGAATTTAAAATTTCCTTTTCTTTGATCCTTTATGACAATACATTACGTTGTTGTTGTGCATTTTTCATTTGAATATATATTTTAATATCAGAATCGCAATCTGTGACAGGCTTAGGATCTAAATTATAATAAATAAAAATACAGCAAGTAAATTATAACAAGCAAAGCAATTTCATAATCAAATAATATAGAATATATCCGAGGATAAATACTTGGGAATCGGTTGCCACAATGGACGCAGTACTTCTTGTGCACATACATAGATTATATGTACAAATATGTATTTACACACTTATGGACAAATATCCATAAGTTCTAATAACTTTAATATCTAATACATACATACAAATGTACAAAATACCCAATTGTCAACAGTTTCGTGTGCTATCAAAAGTCAAAAATAAAAAAAAAAAATCATTTCATTTTGACGAAATAAATTCGCAGAACGATATGAAATTTACACACTGCTAAAGTGCTATTAATTTAAATTTAACATAAATGTATATATAAAAAAGATGATAAATTGTAAATTGCGGCAAACGGAAATGCAAAAAATAAAATAAAAAATAAGTAAACTGTGTGGACATACAAATTTGCATTGCCGTCGAAATATTTACAATAATTATGTAAATCAGTGGAAAAGCCATAAAATGCACACCTAAAATTGTGGCCTCTTTCCGGCAATGCAATCGAAAGAAAACTATATTATATGTACAGTTTTGTGCATGCAAAGCAAAACGATTACCGATAACAAAAAAATAAAACAAAAAAAAAAGAAGCTGTATCAACATTTTTGAGTTGAGCAAAAACAAACAAAAATCCAACTCTTTTTATGCTGCCTACTTTTTGGGCGTCCATCTGCGAGTAAAATACTACAACATACTGTGTGTTATATGTATGTGTGTGTATGTGTGTGTGTGTGTGTGTGTGTAAAATAAATGTGTGTGCCATTGCTGATGTATCTGACGTCATTGAAATACACACAAAGAGAGAGGAATTTGGCTCGTGATAAAAGATTGTTTGTCAAGCTTACAATCTTTTCCAGCTGTCAAAGCCAGTATGAAAAATTGTATGAAAAATCTTCAGCTTGGATGTTTGGTTTGAAAAGTGACCATTGAGGTATAGCTTGAAACTTTTGAATTCTTAAAAGACTGGAACATAGTTATGCTCAAACTATTTCTTAAACTTTAATGTTTAATTGTTAATAGAATTTAAAGCAAGTTGATAGCAAAAATGTTGTCATTCAATGCTGAGAATTTTCATGGTCAATGTATGAAGGAATTTCCCGTCAAATTTAACTGCACTATTAACACTATGTGCCACCAAAAAATATTGTGAGCCATTTTCTATGAATGCATCACAATTTTAACGATAACGTTAGAAAAGCACAAATGTAGAATGATAAAGTCAACAGCTGTTCTCTGTGGCTTAATGTGATGATGTAAATAACTTTGTGTGCGCTTGACAACGCTGTGCAATGCTGAAACAGAAGGCGACGTGTCATTTGCAGCGGAAAATGGCCAACACCACAAAGTGTTCTTCAGTTGACATCCATCACCGAAGAGCCCAGAAGTCGTTGGGCGACGGGGACTTCATCAAATTGACGGGCGACCATTGCATTTGATATGCAAATTGTCATTGTTAGACAAAGACAGCTCCCATCCTGATTGATGTATGCTATGCGTGTGTGTGTGTGTGTGTGTGTTCGAGACTGTGTGCTTGGGGGTGTTTGCTTGAATATGTGTGTGTGGGTGTGTGTGTAACTGTGAGCTGTCAGTGACATTGGCCAAAAACCAAAAGCAAAGCCAACAGAAAAAGCCAAAAAAATAAATAAATAAACAAAATATGAATTAGCAGCCAGGCAGCCCAGAGAGAGAGAGAGAGAGAGAGAGATATAGAGAGAGATAGACCGAGTTAGAGTGAGAGTGAGTGAGACTGAGAGAAAGAGAGAGAGAGAGAGAGACAGACAGCGGGAGGGAGAGCACAGGAGAGAGCGCCTTCCAAAGCTTTAAGTATGCTAAGCAGCTATCAAAAATCAAAGCCAAAATGTATAAAACAAAATCACAAAACTATAAGCAAAAATGTAAAGAAAAAGGTTATATCTAAGCGATACAAAGTTATATAGTTATATATATTATATAAGTATTATAGGCGTCTTGTAGACAGAGACAAATTACATTTGCCTCAATATCTTTGTCTTCTCAGTTGGATCGTCCGTTGCCCCAATATAAAAACCCATCCAAAAATAAAGTAAGAAAAAAACAAACATAGAAAAAAGATTTCGTCTCGGTCCCGTTCTACTTACGTTATGGGATAGATCATGCCATCGGGCCGATCCAAAGTGCATCGCTGCCTCAGTATACCCTCCCATAGCTGCACCCCAATAATGCCAAAGATGAAGAACACAAAGAAGCAGAGCAGAAGCACATTGCCCAGCATGGGCAGGGTATCCAGCAGCAGCATAACCAGAATTCGCATACCTAAATTGAATTGAATAAATGATATACGCATGTGTGATCGATTAGCAGTGACAACCCCACACTTACTGGGTATACGATTAATAGCCCTCAAGGGTCGCAGCACTCGGATGGTGCGTATCGCTGTCAAATTCAGATTCTCCACATGCATCACATACTCTAGCAGTCCGGCCAGTACGATGAAGAAGTCCAATCGATTCCATGAGTCAGCCAAATAGGTGTTCTTGCCACACATACCCATCGCCACCATTTTGATGGTCATCTCCAGGGCAAAGAACGCAAATATTATATCGTCAAAGATCTGCGTACAAGAAATCAATCAACAATATCAACAGCAGATAAAAATGGTTTAACTATAATTTCCCTTCTTAGAAGTCTGTTTCATCTGTATCTCGACATTTTTGAATGTTATATTTAACTTAATCTGTATAACTGCACAAAGCATTAACCTCTTCCCTTGGCCATTTGGCACTTTCAGTCTGTAGAGAGCTCAACTAACTGCTTAAAATGTAGGTAACAGAGAGTGATAGCCAGAGAGAAATCTCTTTTGGTTGTTAACAAAAAGCGTGGTTGACAGTTGTCAAAATGAGATGTAGTCCACTTTAGCTATCAGTACGTGCCTTGCCACATCATGCATGGAGCGGAGTCTCTATCCTTTCACTTTCCCCTTTTCTCTTCCCTGACGTCCCTCATTCACTCGCGGCCAGTGCAAACAATGTGAAGCAGCGGTGAGTCGTGCATAAACTGACGCACATGTATATATATATATAGATATATATATATACATAAGTGTATCTCGCATCTCGGAAGAAGTTGTCCCTGACTCAGTTTTCGTCTCCGAGTCTGGGGCGATGCTCAAATAACTCTCTGCAATTTGGGCGCCACTTATGTCCTTGTCGTGTTCATTCCCATTCTCATTTGTGGCTAATTTGGCAATGGCTCGTCTCGTCTCGTCTCGTCTCGTCTCGTCCCTCCACCACACACACACACACACCTTGGAAGACTCTGCTGGTCGCCCTTCGTATGCTTTACACTTGGCTGCGGCCAAAAATGTCTGCCTTCCATATCATTTACAAACATTTTCGCACGTTGCGCTCAACATTTTCTATACGCCAAAGCACTGTAATTGCCCCCAAAAAAGCCAGCTGCCCCTGCCCTGCCAGTCCGACCCACCCCTCCTCGTCCAACTTCCCGTTCCTCGTTTTCGCCGTGTGCGTTGGCTGCCTAATGAGCCGAAGTGCCTGTTTGATGTCATCAGCAAAGCAGACACAGGAAGTGAGCCAAAAAATTGCTTAAATAAATGACAGTTAATGTGACGCCAGCGGTGACAGCTTAGCTTGGCAATGGAGGGAATTAGGGAAAGAGTAGTGGTAGGTAAGGAAAGTCATTATGCTATTTATATATATATATACATATATATATATATATGTATTTACTCACCTGCAGTATCTTGCAGCGCGGCTTCAGACACGTGTCGTCCACACAGGGCTGGTACATACCCAACGTTATGCAATTCAGTAATATGACCAAGATCGAGATACGCTCGAACCACGTAGAAGTCGGATAATAAAAAGTTAGAATTAAGGATTTTAACCAAAATATGATAATGCTGTGGAAGAGTTAAGTTTTCCCTAAATCCAATTATAAACAATGAAATGTTAAGTTATAAAATTATTAAGTGGATTATCTGTCTCCGAAACCTGAACTCGCTAAACTGAAATGTTAAAAGCATTTCTTTAGAATATCACCATTGCGTGTAATCCTTGAACATTGTGTTTTTTTACTACAAATCGAAAATGGAATTGCCATTATTCTCTAGAGCTCGACTAAGCTATACCCTGGACATAAGTCAGTACCTAAAGGTCTAAATCGACTTGGCCGTTGCTGCTGATGAAGAATAAATATACCTTATGCCAGAGAGGTCCGGTACATACTTCTGCACAACTTCATTATACCACTTTGCCCAGTTTCAATGGCCTCAGGGTATAAAATGGAATGTCCTTCCGTTTATTGACGGCGCTTTTGTCCTCTGATTTAAGCAAAACCAGTCAAGGCAAAGGGTGTGGGAGAAACCATTCGACAGTTGCGTCTCTAAGCTCTTGATGGGAGATTCTTCTGGCTGTTTACCATCGTTTCTAATGCGCACTCGAAGGCTTGGCAACTTGGCTGCGTTTTGCACTCGACGTGCTTTTCCTTGTTGTTGTTAGTTTATTGCGGTTTTGCTTGAAGCAAAATGGCAAAGAAATGGCACAAATTGATGACAGTTACTCAGGCAGTCAGCCAGGCAGTCAGTGGCAGCATAATGCAAAGTTGCAACTGCTGTTCAAGCAAGAAGTTCGCTCGTAAGCCATTCAGACGGCTTATTAGCCAGTCAGTGCATCTACTGTGGATGTGCACTTAAATACAGATTATGCGCAAACTGAAAGTAGCTCACTCCATCAGGATCACTGGCTTTGGACTTGACTGCTCACTCAAAATGACTGTCAATGTGGGCAAGCTAGAATCAGTTGGAAAAAAGTGGTAGTCAGTCCATGATTAATGTCTGTTTTCTCAACTTTGAATAAGTGGATTGAATTGAGATACAAAACTGTTATGAAACATGTACGAGTGGGCAATAAAATGAAGCTAATTGAAAAGTTTTACTTCGATCCGAAGTGGGAAGTTCATTTAGAAGTAATGAGAATAATCAAAGAGCAGAGTAGCATAAATCAAAAGAAACAAAGAAATGAAAGAAGCATGTATCAAAGCCAAAACTCCTCAGAAAAGTAACAAAGTTGGCGAGAAATTAAGTGACAAACAGAGCCACATACAATAATGGAATGAGAAAGAGAAGCGAGAGAGAGAAGCGAGAAGCACAGTGAACAAAAAACCAAGGTGAGAAGTTGTCATGCAAGTCGTGTAGCAAATTGAGATGCATAACAGCGAGTGCAGTTAGAAAAGCAACTGAAATTGCCACTCGTGTTTAATCGAAATGATATCAGGTTTTTTTTTTGTTCGGTATCAAAACGTATAAAAATGATGCTTCTCGCTTCACTGCCGATATCAAATAGCCCGCAAAATGGCCAAACATTTGCATTAAAAGAGCAATCAGTTGCTTTTTTTGCCGCGACTCAACAACGGTCAACGGCAACAAACAATGCAAAGCCAAAGGCAACAGTAGAAGGAGGCAAACAGAGCCGGCTCTTTAATGCATTCCATATAGCCACCAAGGACCCACATTTTTTATGGCGTGCGCAATTACGAGGCAAATGCGAAATGAAAAAACACCAACAACAATAAATACAAATAAAAACAATGCATAAAAGGTTTATGCTATTAACGCACAATTAAAGATAAAAACGGACACAACAATGGCTACCAAAATCGAGTCCAAAAACAAAACGGCAACAACAACAACAACAACAAAAAAACACAATCGACCGAGTCCTTGCTACAATTCATTAGAAGGCAGCGGTTTGAATGCACGAGTGTACAAGTGTACAAGTGTACGAGGGCATATGCAGGTCAGGCCAGTGTCATAAAAACAAATGTGAAAAGCGTCAGACGACACACTGGATACACACACACACACTGGATACACACACACACACACACACACGCACATACACGGACGCACTGAAAAGGTCAGCGCTTTTTGGGCGGTTTGGAGGCTGGCAATCGAGCTGTATAAATATTGCAGCAGCTCAAATATGGGACACTGCCGAAATGGTAGAGCTGGCTTTGCTCTCGTTGCAAGGATTGCTTGGTTGGTTGCGATGGTGCGAGGAACGACCGGCTGGGGAACGGGGTGTCAAGTCAAGTTGGGGTAGTAGGCTGGCCATTATTTTTGATTTGGCGCGCAGCGACGACGGCAAAGGCCACCAAACCAACAGTAAACAAATTAAGTCGAGCGTAAAGTCGGCCAACTCACACACACGCACTCACAAAGAGGGCCCCCAACGGGTTGGGGTGGGGGGCGTGGCGAGCGTGGCAAAGGTATACGCATGGGAGCGTGCAAAAATCGCAACAAATTAAAAGAACTGACAAACAAAAAAGGCGCCCTTGAAGCTGCCGCAGATGACTGGACACAAATAATTTATATGAATACACCCCCCCAAAAAAAAAACAAAAAAACCAAAAACGCAGAAGAACAGAAATCGAAGGCATAAAGTAAAAGGTGCAAAGATGAAAGCCAGAATCGTAAAGCTTGTGGCATGGCAATACTTGAAATAATTGGCAAAAGTAGCAGCAGCAGCAGCAAAAACGTTTCCAATCAAATTGGGCTTATGCATATATATATACATATATATATATATATATATATATATCTTACAACCAATCGAGGCGATACTCTTTTGAAAAATAAAATAAACGACAAAAACTTTGAGCCTGTTTCATTGAATATGTTGTGAATGCATTCATTAAATTGCTACTACATCAAAGTGATGTTTGGATTGCCAATTGAAAGGATGAAGGACGATTTATCGCAGTGCCAAATGCTAGTTGACTTGCAATTCCAAGCCTCAAGACGAAATGCATTTGTCCTTTGTGGTGCTAAATTAAGTGTGTATAATACACACTCACAATCAAAATTTGAAAGCTGTAGCAATCACAGGTAGAATCCTCAATTTTAAGCGGATTACAGTTTGGGGTATTAGGTATTAATTGATTTGAACTATACGCACTCAACACATGTACACATGAATATATACATATTAAATGTTTTGTGCTTATGTCCAGCAAATGTATCGAAAATAAAGCTGATGATAAGTCTATTGCTCAATTGCTCAAATGTTGTCTCCTTAAATCAAGTTTTTGGTTATGAACTTTAGCTAAGACCTAAAAAATACTTAAAGTATTTCAGATCGAACACATCCAAGCTCATCGAAGTCACAGCAATTTTATCGATAACACAGCATTAACTGGTTCTTAAGTTACAACTTGAATTTATACTCTAGCTATTGGATGCGATAAGGAGTGCTCCTTGTTTGACTTCAGTTAATTTCCAATTGACAAACCGAGAGCTACCGAAGAAGAAGAAGAAGAAGAAGAAGAAGAGATGCCACACCTTAAGCCACTCATACTGTTGACCACCGTTTCAAGTGCTACAAATGGAATTGAAGCTGATGGCATGTAATGAATCTGAAGCAGGTGGTTGGTAATCAGAGCCAGGAGTTCACCCACAGAGCACAGCGGTTGGATGGTGTGTGGGGTGAGGTGGGGTGGGGTAGGTGATTGTTGCTTGGAAGTGGCAGAAGTAATTTATTGCTTTTAAATGGACAAAGTAGACGCAATAATTAGCTGTAGGGCGTGGATATCGTATTACTGCCTTACACATTTGGCACCTCCCCCTTTCTTCAAGCATGCTAATTATGTGCATTGCACAGCAGAGGTCCTTAAGTGGATTGTGTTGTTGTTGTTGTTGTCCTTGCAAATTATAATCGCCGTAAAATAGGCAAGAGTGTTCCTGAAGTCTTGTGGCATACTGCAAGTGGCAGCTGTGTTTATGTTACAGCATGTTGCATGCTGCACTACATTTCGTGTGGAGCACTCAAATATTTTCATGGGAGTCGCAGTTGAGTCCTTGACAGGACGGTGACTTCACCATTTTGTTTTCGTACCCTGAATCCATTAAAAATGACTAAAAAAGGGTGTAATGGTCTTGTGTATGGCAGCTCCTCCGACCACGTAATATTGATGAATTGCGATTTACTCAGTAATTTTCTTAAAAGGCGATTTGGCAATAAAACCAGAAGATATTTAATGGCTGCATTCAAGGGTATATCGTAGTCGAGCTCACTCAACGACAGCTTTCTTACTTGTTATTTTTCGTTTTTGTTTTTTTCTTCACAAATAGCGCAGTTGACCTCTTCACAAGTTTGGTGGTGCATGCCACAATTTGTGGCATTGAGTATAGCGCCATGTAGACGAACGAGAAGTTCTTAACTGAAATTAGTTTAGCAACAAAAAAATCTAAATTACCAGCAGCGCTAAGAAATTGATAATAACCAACAGCAATTGAATGCCATCCAATTATGTCCAAGCTATAAAGCTGCGAGCTGAAAATGTTTGCAACTTGCAGCTGCAAGAAATCGTTGCACACGAAATAACAATTATTGCTGGACAGGGAGAAGAAGCTGGGACTTAATCCTTGGGAGAGCAAAATATAAGCAACGAGAAATATACAACCATAAAACTTTGAGCTGACGAACCTTAAATACCCTTTGCTATGCAAGCAGATATGAAATATTTTTGACTGACAATTTCCAAATACACTACTTAAGTAGAGTATTTATACAATGCGTCCAAGAACTAAATGAATGCTATATCATATTATATGCATTGCATATTTCATGACAAAGTCATGGAACCCATGTTAAGCGAATAGACACTCAAACAAGATAGTGAAGATAATGTTGTGAGACCAAAAGGTGCTCAAGGAGCAATGGGGGAAAATTTATAGCTAACAATTAAGTGGTTGGAAGAGGGGATGCGGGGATGGTGTCGTGGCGAGAGGTTGTCGGTAGAGCGATTATCCCGTTATTGCTGCTGACTGTGAAATGCAATTGGCATTTGCCAATTGGAAGTTGGAAGTTAGCAATTGGTAATTGGCAATGCGAATCTTGGCATCGCAAATCGGATGTACGACAGGAAATGGCAAAAGATATACAAAAAGGAAGTGCCACAAAAAATAACAAGAAATGTCGCAAAGGTAAAAGTGTTGCAGTTGCAATGAAATTGTACTTTTAAGTCACATTATTTGTTGGCAGGGCAAAATTAAATATGCAAATTGATATAATTAAAGAACTCAAAGCTGTTGTTCAAGTTGACTGAAGGATGATACCGGACTGATTAGTTAAATATTTAATTGAAAATAAATAACAATTAAAAAGTAATGAAAAAAGGCAAACTATCCACCAGAAGTAGAAGCTATTGGCTTGCTCTGCGTTGAGAGAAATATTCGAGAATAAAATCTGCTCATTATCGAACAAGTCTTCCTGAATGAACAGACAAATATATGAATTCTTGCCTCATCATTTTCTGATTTTACGGCCCACTATCCTACCAGGAATTGTATTTCTTCTACAAGTTCAAGTTCTCTTATCACGATTTCTTAGTTATTTATATAATAGTCCCCAAGGAGGACACAGATTGAGAGGCCGTCGTTTTCAAGGCAGGGAATATGTTTGTCTTAAATATTAACGTCAGTCAATTTTAATTTCAGCTTAAATTAAATATCAAGTGCGCCCGAAAGTATGCAAAGTGATTTTTCATGCACATGCCAGACACATGCCACGAACAGGACATCTGATAGGCATTGGGCTGAGGGTCGACTGAGAACGTAGTGCCGAAGGAAGGGGCTGGAGTGGGTGGCGTGTGGACGCAGACACATATGCTACACTGATTGACACACATTATCCCCTCGCGACAATAAAAACAACAAAACAGGACGCTTCACAGGAAGCAGCAACTGCAAATGACGGCAAGGCTTCGGCAACTGCGGCAACCCTGGCAGTGTCTTCCGCTGACGAGCCGCTGCCGTGCGCCGATATCTGTTATTTATGCGCCACGAACACACACACTCACACACACGCATATTTGAATAACTTTTGCAACAGGCAGGCAACGAAAAAAGCATAAATAAATATTTAAAAAAAAAACTCATTTTTTTCAAGCTTAAAATCTGCTGATAAAGTGCCACAGGCTGGGGCTGATCGCAGCAGTTTTGTTATCATCGAGCATTGGCAGAAGAAACACATGATTAATATTTGCTACATTTTCAAACATGTATAATTGAATTTAAATTAAGAAACCAACTGAAAATTGATAAATAATATACATTAGAATTTATTTTCTTGAAGTTTCCAGCTGGTTTTGCAGTTTTGCACGATTGAAAAGGTACAAAACAAATATCTAGAATTTTCTTTGCAATTAGATTGATTAGCTAGATGAGCTGCAAGTGGAAAATCTATCAAGACTGAAATATTCAAATTCAAGGATAATCATTTTCAGTTCCATGAACAATTTCCAATTTTATATTTGGATAATCGAATAATCAACTGAGTTTTTCTGAACTTATCGAAATTACTTGTGAGTTGTAGTCTATAAGACAGTAAAAATCAATTTGCAAGGACATTTTGGCAGACGAGGACATGTGTTGTTTTGTGAAAAGGATATGGATTGGTGATAAGCATGAGGCACCAGTTGCGCGGTCGCGTATATTGCGTCAGTGCCTTCATCGCAATCTCTGGAAAGCCCGGATACGGCAAGTTCGGCTCACCCGACGAACTCGACGACGACGACGAGGATGTGTGCGAGGAGCCGCCATCATCCGAGCTGCAGCTGCCATTGCAACTGGATGCTGTTGAGGAGCTGCCCGCTGAGGCAGCGTGTCCACTCCGGCCCGTCGTCCGCTGACCGCTCAGCGTTGAGGAGGCGCCGCTGTGACGCCGCCGTCGTCTTTGTCCACCACCATCCTGACTCCGCTCTCTGCTGCCCCCGCGACTCGAGTGCTGATAGCGTCGCTGTTGCTGCGTTTGTTGTTGCTGTTGTTGTTGTTGTTGCTGCTGCTGCTGCTGCTGCTGCTGCTGCTTGGTGTCGGAAGCATTGGAGTGCTGTCGATGTGGGCGTCGCGTATGCGGCGTGGGCGTGGCCTTTGCACTGTTGCTGCAGGAACTCGATTTGCGCTGACGCTGCTGACTGCCGCTGCGACGCTGCTTCTGTTGGTGTTGTTGTTGTTGCTGCTGCTGCTGCTGCTGCTGATTGCCACTGTCGACGATCACCGCCATTGGCGGCTCCTCGTTGGAATGCATTTGCGTTGGCTTCAATTTCTTATTATTATTGCTGTAATTGTAACTGCTGCAGCTGTCGCTTGCTGCCACGCGACGTCGCTGGCCATTGTTGTTGGCTTCAGTTGTTGCTGCTGCTGATGCTGTTGGTGTTGCTGCTACTGGTGCTATTGGTGTTGGTGCTGGTGTTGCTGCTGCCTGCTGCAGCATCTTCCGTTGGCGACGTGTGTGCGCCTCTGGTCATTCCATTTTGGCCAGCTGCTCTCTGCAACGAAATCGAGTTCATCGAGATAATTAGTCTGATTTTCAGCAAAAAATTGAATCAATAAATACAATGAAATGCATTGAAAAACTTCTATTCTGCTTCAATTTCAGAAAAACTCGAATCAAATTTATTTTATTTTTATTTATTTATTAATTTTTTTATATTTTTGTTCAGCAGCAGCAGCAGCAGCAGCTTCATCAAAGCCACATAACAAGCTGTTGCTGCTCACACACACACACACACAAAACATTATAGACATTCATACCGAGACACACACACACACACACACACACACACACACACACACACACACACACATTCATGCTCACACACTTCACTCAAAGGTACGTGCAAAGTTTGTGAATTGATTTTTAATGCGGCGCCTTGAAGCGCGTCCCAAATTGCCACAAGGTCCGCCTTCGCCCCCGTCTGAGCCGCCTTAGCTGCCGCCATAAAAGCAGCTCGCATAATGAAGCCCAAACATAATTTATATGCGTGTGGTGTGCGAAGGGGGGTGTGGCCGTGTTGGGAGCTCTAAAAATAATGAGCAGCATATTTGGTGCCCACAACGGATATTGTAGCATACTTTTCAGAGAAAATGGGAAGCTCGTTGCGCATGTGTGTGTGTGTGTGTGTGTGTGTGTGTATATATGTGTATATGTGTGTGTCTGTGTGTGTGTGTGTGTGTATGTGTGTATATGTGTGTGTGTGTGTGTGTGTGTCTGTGTGTGTGTGTGTTCAATCATTAATTACGACCCTCATGTGGCAAAAGGCTGGTGTGTGTGCGTGTGTATTACACTTGTGTGTGCGTGTGTATTACACTTGTGTGTGTGTGTGTGTGTGTGTGTGACCCACCTAAAGTATAACACATTAACTTGCCAAAAAGTGCCACGTTGTGGTTTTTGATACACACACATACACACACACACACACACGCACGTACTGCAATTGTGCGAAAATTGGTTTATTGATAGGCTAACAAAATAGGCAGTCTTTGCATAGTTGGCAACAACGACAACAACAGCAACAAAGGCATATAACATAATTACAACAGCAACAGCACTACAAATGAAGAATATATTCTATGTATGTGCATGTGTGTGTGTGTGTGTGTGTGCGATGAGGGGGCTGACAGGCTAAGCGGCAGGTCACTGTGATGGATTATGCCATGAATATTGAGCAGCATATAACGTCAATTATAATAAGCACGATTTTGAACATTTATTGATACACAATTGCAAAAATGATGCAGAACAATTCCATAACGAACAACGCAAATATCCATAGAAATGAAGTGCTTTTGTGTGAATAAACAAAGGAAAATAATATTAAGAACAACAACCGCTGACAAAGTAGACAATAAACCCGTATATTTATTGAACGTTTCAAAAATCAGATTTTATTAAGTATTAAATAAAAGTCAGCACAGGTTTATCAAATCATTCATCAGTTTTATTCACAGAATTGTTTGCGTGTCGAAGCGCCTAGTGAGATACACAGATTTATATATATATATATAGAGAGAGAGAGTGAGAGGGAGACAGTGGTGAGGAGTGAGATGGGGCTATACGTGTGAGGCATTTGTTGGCGTTGCCTGTGGCACGTGTCCTGCCACAAAAATAGGCACAGACACAGTCACAGACACAACGACGGTCTAGAAATCAACAATAATTAATCGTAGGCTGGCGCCATTTGTTTACAAACCGGAAACGGAAGTCAGTCCCCAAGCCAAACAAAGCACTGCCCAAGTTTCCTATTTATGTTGATATGTATGTGGGCCAGCATAACTTTCCATATGAATTTGAAATGTTAAACAAGGCGAAAAGACCAAAAACAAACCCAAGTATTTAAACCCAAAAACTGTGCGACCAATAACAAGCATAAAATACCAGAGGGAGAGAGAGAGTAAGAGAGAGAGAGTGAGAGAGAGGGAGAGAGAGTGAGAGAGAGGGAGATATATATAGAGAGAGAATAACAAGAATGGTAATAACAATACCAACAACGAGCTGAACAACAACAATAATGTGAACAGCAATGTAAGCGTCTTGTAGAATAACACATCGCACATATGTAACGCACACACACACACACACACACACACAAAAAAATACACACAAAAACACACACACACACACACAAACACACACACATTTATAATTAAACACAAACAGCGCGGAATAGGGAAGAAGGAAATGGATGGCGTGGCGCAGCTAAAGTAAAGCGTGGCAAAGCAGAAGAAGCAGCTAAAATACTCACAAGGCGCACAGCTAACACTCAAATACATATGCATAATAAATAAACACATATGTATATATACATACATATATATATATATATCGGCACAGTGGCGTAAAATAATGCGATTAGCCTGACAAAATAAGAATGTCTGATTTGATGTCTAGATGCTTAGAGCAGAGATCTGTCTAGATCTTTCGAGTGTCAATAACAACAACTTTTGAAGTGGGTCATTTGAGTTGAGAGATGACTCTGGCTAGATAGTCACCGAGTCTCAACTCGTTCTCCACTCGCTCTTCGCTCAAATGAACTTTAAATTGCATCTATAACTCTGAGTATTAAAGTGCAATAAATTTCGCCGTTGTTATTTATTGGCAGTATTTTTTCATTTTAATACGGTTTATGTAATCTCATTTAATTAAAGTCTGGCAACGGTTTAACCACTGTTAGTAAACACATTTAAGTTGATATCATTAAAGTTGCTGCTCGAGCACCACACATGCATATTTAATTTACAAATGATGTACACACGTATATAATATATATACTGTAGGCATTACTTTGCAATCCCCAGTTCACTTTGGTTCCATAATTTTGAGTTTGGCTAACTTTTTTCAATTAATCTGACTTTAATGCTGCTTTTCATTTTATAACTTAAGTCTGCAGTCCTCGAAAGTCCTTGCTCGGTCGCCACACGCACATAATTAATTTTATAATCATATAAGCATATTATATAGCATAGCTTACAGCCCACAAATTGAATTTTTTTTGCTGCTTCAGCAATTCTGCACGTCGTCTTCATTTATATTTACCCAAAGTTTTGTTGCTCTATTAATATTGCTTTCACACAAAAGAAGCTATTGACTTTTGTGCCACGTGCAAACATGAAATTACTTTTGTGGACATGTTTCAAATTTAAGCAGCTTTTTAACTGATTATCCGCATTGTTGTTGATTTAACTTTGTTATCCTCAAACTCTCTCCCTTTATCTTCCTTACCCACAATTGCCCCGAAAAGTTATGCAAATAGATTCTGAACCTGTTTGTCTCTGTGTGTGTCTCTTTTATTTTTATTTATTTATTTGTTGTTGTTTTTTTGTTGTTTTTTTTTTGACAGCCTTTCACCCCGCATCGAGGGAAAGGCTGCAACCGACCAATAAATAAAAACAAAATGGAAAGGCAAACATGAAGAAATGCGAATGTGAGAATGTGTGGCATAATTTACTTTTAAATGTAAAATCGAGTCGCGGGCTGTCATTGATATGAGGCTGCTGCTGCCACTCCCACTCCCAGTCCCAGACCCACGCCCTGTCCCAGTCCCAATCCCAGTTTCAGTTCCAGTTCCAGTCCCAGCTCGGGGATTCTGATCAAACTGAAAGCAACAAAGATGAAGACAGAAAAAAAATACGCATACGCGGCGTTGTGCACGGTGGCAAATAAATCAAAGCATGAACAACGACGACGACACCGCGGCGCCGAGATGCCCGTTATTTTCTTCTTGCTGTTGCTTCTCGGTTCTTTTGTTATACCCTTGCAGAGGCTTCTACAACTTTGTCGCACCCTGTGCCAAAGTGCTATTGAACGAGACGTTCCAGTTTTATATATATTCCTGATCAGCACCATTAGCCGAGTTGAACTAAGTGACTTAGTCTCTCAGTCTCACAGCTATCTTGATGATGCATGGAATACATATGTACTTAATCTGCAGCCAGTACATATTGCATCGGATTTTCCAAATTTATAATGGCAGATTATATGCCCCGATCTGCAAGGGTATTAAATGGTCGTCGTCCCTAGAATGACACATCCTTCTTCTTATTTTTTTTTACTGACTGGCTGGCATACTGAGATTTATGCTCGCCGTTGTTTATGAGCCCGGAGCCTGGATCCGGGAGCCGGGAGCCGGGAGCCGCGCCCCTTCCGGCAGCCAGACTGCCGTTGTAGCCACACATTAGCATAAATCCGTATACTTACGCACAGGCCGCGCAAATAGTTAAGCTGCTCCGCCGGTCTCCTCGGCAGTAGCTGCCCCCCGATCGTGTCAGTCATTGTATTGAAATGTTTATCTGTGGCCCGATACGTTATTTTTGCCATTCCATTAAGCAATGAACAGCGCCGACTGTCAGTCCAACACGTAATCGTAATCGGTTGTCCAGCTGAAGTCCCTACTCGAGAGGCATTTGATGGTCGGACGCTCAGTGAACACATTTCTCGCTTGACACTTATATTATCTTGAGCAACGATTCATTTTCAAGATGTATCTAATCAAGTTATAGGTTTTTTTAAAGCAGAGTACAAAAAAAAACAAATTCATTCATTTCAAATTCGGTGTACACATTGAAATCACACTGGAATTTACACTTTTTCTCTTAATTTAATTAAAATCTGTCTTGCATAACCTCAAGGCTCGCCTCAACCATCCGTTTTCTTTGTTTTATTGTTGTTCTTTGTTGTTTTTTTTTTTTTTTTGTGAAAAATAAGTTTAGCTGCCCTTGGCAATAATTCTGAGTGCAGCAATACCTGGTCGGGCACCCACTCATTCAATTCCTGCTCGGGCTGTCGACTCTCTCCATTGGCGCTAGGGTGCTCACCCTGCGATCCCTGCTCTGTTGGGCAACACGGGGGCTCTGATGTATTTAGCATTAATATTTATGATTGCTCATCTGTGTATAAATGTCGATGCTGATGCTGATGCTGATGTGCCGAGGCTCGTGTCTTGCCTTACATTCGCCATCACATTTTCATTGCTTGTTTATTGCGCTGATT